GAGAGGTTCAAAGGCCCTTGGGCCTCCTACCACTACATTAAATGGAGCATTTGCTGGAGCAGCGGTCAGTTCTATCCTAAGTCAAGGATGGTTCCAAAAGGTCACAGTGTGTTAATCCCATGCAGCACCCAGCATTCTCTTTGTCTGTCTTATTTTCATAATTAAGCAACTGGGCAAAGCATGGATCAGCCTTGACCCACATCTTTATATCCAGACTCACCAGAACCAGAGTCAGTGAGTATCACACATGTCACGTGATACTGTGCTTTTATTCAGTATTCATTTACCGGGAAGACAAAAGCTATCAGAGTGGCCTACAGTGACATCATGTCTCTGGTCACCGCCTGTCCATGCAGAGCCGGAACACCGTGGCCCAGAGATGCTGCCGTGTGGAGAATTCAAAGGCCAATGGGCACACGCTGGGCCATGTGCTCCAGCTGACCCTGCCTGCGCAGGTGGTTGGGATAGATCATCCCCAGAGGTCCCTTCCAACTTCAGCCTGTGGCTGTGTGAGCTGTGCCCTACCCATGTTTGTGTCACCTACTGCCATGCATTCCTCCTAGGCAGCAAAGAGAATTCCTACACGGCCTACAAAGCCCTTTGTCTGAAGTCAAAGGAGGAAGGGGGAGGGACCCCATTCATCCCGGAATGAAAGTTCAGCTGGAGAATTGTTCTTTTCCTAACCTTATTCTCCTATTCACGTTTTTGACGACTAACTCTTGGGAATCCAGAGTACAACAAGCTGAATTTATTCACAGTCCGAGCATTATGAAAGCACCCTCTGAGGCAGTTTCCTCTCACACCGCCACCCCATTGAAGGCAGCCCTGACCTTCGGGGACCACCCTCTTCAGGAATGGAGGGTTATTCAGCCTGCATCCTGTTTGAGAGCCACACACCCCTCCTGAGCGGCCGGCTCGCTGCTGGAGCGGAGCCTGCCCCGCTGTTCCGTTGCAGCCCCGCTGTGGTTGCAAGCAGCCCGCTCCGGGGCCGGGTCACAGCCGCGCTGCCTCTGGGCGTACGCACGCTTCTGATCCCACAAACCTGGTGGCAGAGGTGCCGGCGACGTGGCTGGCTTCAGAAGGAAAACACACCCTTTGGGTATTGGCTTGCATATCATTTACCCTCAGCTGAATGCGTGTAGGAAACAGCGATCTGGCTCCCGCTAATCCTTATTCAAGATAAGCCCTTTGAAGTCGGTGTGCGCTGCAGGCAGGGCCAGCTTGGCAATTTTGCCAAGTCGGTGAAACGTTTTGACAGCAACCGCTTTCCTCTTCCCCAAAACAACAACTGACTCTTGTTCTGCCCATTTTAATCCCGAAAAAGGAAAAAAACCCACAAAACCCCACAACCCAACAACAAAAAAACACCAAAGACAAAAACCCTCATCACGTTTCAGCCTCGCTCTGCATTACGATGGGAGAGCACCATTGCCTCTGCAAATTCCCTCATGCATGAATGCACAGTCTCACTGCATACAAATCCCCGCAGTGTGCAGCCCTGTTGGGCTGAGCATGGAGTCTGTCCTGGGTTTTGCACCGGTCCCAGCAAGAGGCTGGTGCAGAAGAGCAGGCTGCAGAGCAGAGAACAGACTGTGCTTGCTGTTCCTTACGCCAGGGCAGCGTCATACCAGTCCTTCCTTGCAGAGAATCACAGGAATGTAAGGCTGGGAAGGATCTGGTTTAGGCTGTGCCTCTTCACTCTGGTACGTGGACACAGTCTTAAAAGCTCCAGAGCTGAGAGTTGATGGCAATTCTCCTTGGCAGCTTGGGCAAATGTTTCACATTGTATTTGAGGTTCTCACTCGAGGCTATGCTGTGTGCACATTTTCTAGGGGGTTTCTTTTTCTGACCGTGAACAAAATTGCTTGCATAGATTTCTGAAGATTATACTGTAGCTTGAATGGGAAGGCTGCATGTTTGGAAAACCTGGACACATCCCCAAGACCTGTGCTGACCTATTGTCCAACACGTGTGCCGGAAACCTGACCAGGAAGCTCTGCTCTTGCCCTGTGTGATGCAATTGTGTGGTGAATACACAGCAAATTCACAGTGTCCCAAAAGTGTGGGATTCACTGCATTATAAGCAGCAAATCAGGTTATGGAATCGAATAGGAAGCACTGGGCTTGCTGCATGGGCACTACAGAGCATGACAGAAGCAGGTAATATGCTGAAAATGATCTGAAGTCAAATAGCAGCAATTCTGTGATGCCCAGGTTATTATAAGCTGACATTACTGTGGTTTGGGGCCCTGCTTCAAGTTCCAATGGTTGTTTGCAGCCTTGCTCAGCCCTTCTGGGCCCCAACCTTCTCTTTCTTCTCCAGTTATTTTTTCTCCCAATTCAGGCTCACAGAGCACACACAGGTTTGGGTGAACGCTCTGGACAGGAAGGCAGCAGCCCTGTGCTAATCTGACATTCTCACAGTTTTATCTTGAGCACGTGGTGAGGGGGCAGAGCACGGGGGTGAGGAGTGGGGCAAATCAGGAGGTACCAAGTGAGATGCACAGGAGGAATGTGTGTTTTTGGGGAGCAGCACTTCCCTCCTTGTCTTCCACCAGTCCTCACAGTCACACTTCTATAGTGGGGCACAGCTCTTTGCATAACCACAGGATGACCTGACCTGGAAAATTGGGAATTTGACATCGAATAATAATTTGGTTTTTCCTTGGGTTGTTTACACTCCAGCCAGCAAGCAGTTGTGCTGGCCATTGAAGTGGTCCTTTGGCTGATTCTGAGCTGAAATGAGTGGCAGGGCAAAAGAGTTACAGACTGGTGCTGGTAGGGCGACAGAGGAGCAGCAGGGATGCCCACACACCCTCCATCCCCTTATTGCCTCCACTGCCACTTGAGTACGTCACATAGTGACATGGGCAGCCCTTTGGTGAACCAGAACAGGGAACCCACCTAGCTGAAAACCAGCCCTCTGGAATAGAAGCAGAAGAGACAGGAGCAGGCTGAAGGGAGGCCTGATGGCCGCTGCAGCTCCTCACAGGGAGCGGAGGGCAGCGCTGAGCTCTGCTCTGTGTGACAGCGACAGGGCCCGAGGGAACGGCATGGAGCTGCGGCAGGGGAGGGCAGCTGGGGGTGAGGGAAAGGGTCTGCACCACAGGGCGGTGGGCATGGAGCAGCCTGCACAGGGCTGTGGGCACGGCTCCAGTGCCAGAGCTCAGGGAGCGTTTGGACAGTGCTCTGAGACAGCGGGTTTGGATTTCAGGTGTTCCTGGGTGCAGGGAGGGTCTGGATTCACTGATCCTTATTGGTTCCTTCCAACTCAGGATATTCTGTGATTCTGTCATCTCCAGTGCCATCATCTCCCCAACATGGCTCCCCAACCAGTGGGGACAGCTTGGTGAACCCTGCGACCCTGCACTACTGCCAAAAAGTCTCACATCATCCCCAGCCTTAGTCACATGAAACCACAACCTGACAGCGGGCAGTTTCCTCACACCTAAATTAAATTAACTGTATTCTCCTATTTCATTTCTCAGCACAATCTTCCACTCTGAAGGGAAGGCTAGCAATTTTTCTTGAAAACTCACATTGTTTTGTTAGCAAATAAACAAACGTTTGACACAACATCCACATCCACCATGTCTGCCAGACTGGCAGGGTTTTCTTTCTTTTCCCTGGCTCTTTTCCTCCTTTTTTTTTTTTTTCCTTCCAGTATTATTTTCTTAATTTAGTCTGAGCCTTCCTTTAACAGCAAGTCAGTGATTTGCTTTGAGCAAAACAATTTGCACACTAGATTTATTGTCTTCCTGCTTGGATGTCCATCTTGTAATGTCTACTGCATGGAAACCCATCCAAGTTCCTTTCTCTCTGTTTTCCTCCTTACTTTAAGCTTTGTATTTTGGAGGAAGTTGATCAAACTGAGCATTCTTGTGAACTTGAGCTTGGTTGCCAAGAATGTACGTGATTCATCCCCCTGCAAGGAAATGCGCTGGCAATAAAACGTTCCCCATTGCCCCTCTTATTTTACATGCAAAATACTGTTAGCACTCAAAACAAGCAAATCTTGTTACTCAGAACAAAGTGTTATGCTATTAATTGCACGACAACTAGAATTCTTAAAATACTTTCAGGCTCTATTCTTGGAAGAAGGAAATATCACCAGCAGAGGATGAAGCCGATGAGATGTAAATTGTGAGCACTTGTAAAGCACAATGAAAACTTACCTTGTCTCATATCCCTCATATTGTTACCTTGCCCTCAGCAGGACCAAATTCCACACTTCACACTTTGCGTTATGGATATTTTAACCCTTCAGGGAAAGACAAAATAATTTCAGGGGAGGAAATTGTGCTATTTGCTTTAATGAGGAGAGCAGAGGAACTGAATAATCTGCTCAGCAAGAGTGGTTTTCCATTCTACTTTGTCCCTAGAATCATGCTGGTGTGACAGGACCACATTTTGGCTTTGTGACCACAGGTCAGCTCCCACAGCTGTGATTCGTGGACCTGCTCTGCTGTGTGCCCCAGCGAGAGGTTTTCATCTGCTGAGCAGATACTGGCACATACCTTTCTATGAGGTCACGGGGATTGTTTATTGTTTGACAGTAAATAATGGTGGCTTTGCATTAAACATGTTTGGTGGTTTTTGATTTTTTTTTTTTTTTTTTAATAGCCAGAAAAGCAGGATTCTTCTTTTCTGGAAGTCTTCTTTTAAATCTGTGGTATTAGTAAGAAGTAACATTGCCAGAAAGCCAACTGTATCCTGGGCTGCATCCAAAGCAGCATGGCCAGCAGGGCAAGGGAGTGATCCTGCCCCTCTGCTCTGGGCTTGAGACCTCACCTGCAGTTCTGTGTCCAGATGTGGAGTCATCAGTACAGGAGAGACATGGAGCTGTTGGAGTGCATCCAGAGGAGGGCCACAGAAATGACCCAAAGGATGGAACACAACCCCTGTGAGGACAGACTGAGAGCTGGGGCTGTTCAGCCTGGAAAGGAGAAGGCTCCAGGGAGACCAAAAATTGGCCTTTTGGCATCTAAAGGAGCTGTAAGAAGGAAGGGGACAGACTTTAGTTGGTGTGTTGGGATAGGACAAAGGGAAATTGTTTGAAACTAAAAGAGGGGAGATTTAGACTGCATGTAAGGATGAAGTTCTTTACAATAAGGGCAGTGAGACACTGGAAAAGGTTGCCCAGAGCTGTGATGGCTGTGCTGTTCTTGGAGACACCCAAGGTCAGTATGACTCTGAGGGGCTCTGAGTACCTGATTGAGCTGTTTGTTGCAGGGAAGTTGGACTACATGACTGCTAAATGTTTCTCAAACGGTTATATGACCCCATGATTCAATGACTGGGATCATGGGATTGCAGTCCCAGCAAGGAACAAGGACTTGTTCAAGCTGCTTGAAGAAAACATATAATCTCCTCAGCTGTCAGTATCCTGCGCATGTGTTGAGGAAGGAGCTGTACGACTCACACCCCATGGAGAACAGAAGGAGGATAAACTTCAGCACTCCCAGAAGCAGGCACATGGCCCATTGTTGGCAGCTTTCTATAGCTGAGCCCAGCAAAATTCCCAACGTAAGAAAGTGTTCAAAGAAAGTGGGATGAAAAAGTGTTCACCTGAGTCAAGATATCCTGGGTCCAAGATGGAACAAGAGCCTTTCCATGACTGACCAAAGAGATCATCTGAAGTGTAAACACAAAATCATGAAAAATATGTAATGTCTTCATATGCCAAATCATTTCCATCCCTTGGCTGTAGTTCAAGGACTAACTATAAGATATACTAACACGAACACAGAAATCTTCCTGCTTCATTTGCAGCCCAAGATGGATCAACACTTGTGAATTTCTCATTCTGTCACGTCTACATGCTTTCTAATCAGAAACCAATTCATAACATCTACAGTTTATCACGTCAGCTTTGGACTTGGCCAAAATCCTTCCTGAATCTCCTTCCCGTTCCCGGTTGAAGCTTGCTTGGCCAGCAGTTCCACACTGCTCTGGAAGAAGACAGACCCAAGTCTGAAACAAGCAATCAGCAGCAGAGCTGCTGCACTTTCACAGCATTTGGCATCTGCCTCATACACTAGAATTGGAATGTGAGACTTTAGCAATAACTGTGCCCTGTGTTCTTAGTATTTCACTTCTATATTTTCAAAACATCATGCTTAGCTAATTGTTCAGTGCGAGCAGTAGAACTTTCACAATCCTTGAATTTAAGAATTTCACCTTCTTTCATATATGGTAACTCTTTTCTACTTTTATTTTGTTAAAAATTCTGATGCCTCTATTTTAAGGGTTAAATATTCTGAACACTGCATTAAATTGGTGTATTGGCTGGTAATTATTATGCCTTTGCATTCCTCAGACCCAAACAAAACACCAGGGCATATTCCAGCATTTCACTGCACAAATCTAATCTAAGAGGTATAGAAGAGCCATTCTCTTGCCCTTCTATGCCCTAAAGTTTTATATAAATGGATTTGAATCATTCTTAGCTTTGTAATAGGAGCAACAAAGCATAAAGCTGATTGCAAAGTATTGTCAAGCTGAGGTCTTTTTTAGTAATCTATGTCTTTTCAAATAGTTGCTTTCTTTCCTTCTCTTTTCTTCATTTGCAAGAATTTCCTCCAACAATTCAGTGAGGCACTTTTTTGGGGGGGAATGTTGTTGTTTCACAGATATTTTGTGAAAACAAATGGAGCACTGCACACCACAGTGGGAAATGTCCCAGTCTGTCACACAGAACGTCACGTTGTGCCACTTGCTGTCAGAAGGCAGCTCTGGGCAGATGTCACTTTCTGGCTTCAGCTGCAGCCCAGAAGCCGCCCTTTATCACTGTTCCCTCTGCCCTGCTGGTGTGCCTGCAGAGCTGTGCACATGAACCCTTCTTTCCCCATTGCAGGCAAGATCAGCAAGATTATCACAAACAAACGAAATACACAGGCAGCGTTAAGCCATTTCACTGGAACAGCTGTGGAGAGCTCGTCACCACCGGCTCAGCCAAGGGCAGGCAGGGACTGTCATGGCAGTGTGTGGCAGGGCACACAAGAAGAGGAAAGCAGTGGCTTTCCCCTCATGGCACCCCGAGCGCAGTGTGGCACCTATGGTTTCCTGTAGGGGATAATCTCCCCAACACCTTTTGCCACATGCAAAATGTCATGTAACAATGTAATACACTAACAATAGTCACCAGTGTGCAAAGAGATCATTCCTTCTTAGTCAAAGGTGTGCACAAATTTTCTATCAAGTTTATTTTCAAAGAAGTGGTGATGTGGGGAACCACTGTGATTCTGCCTCACGTTACGCCCCCGAGACTCTCTGTTTCACTGGCACTATTCCCACCGCTATCGTAGAGATTATGTCAGTGTTTCCACTAAGCTGCATCTCTGAGGGGCTGATGGTAACCAAGCTGTCAGGATTCATCCTGGGCTCAAACATTTTTTAAATTCCCCATGATGGATATTTCCTTTCTTGAAACAAACAAAAAAATCAAGTTAATTGATACCGCAATACGTGCAATGTAGCATTCAGAGAGGAATTCAGTTTTACATTGTACTATTAAAAATGTTGCAGATAGTTAATAGCAGCAGAACACTCTGATATTAAGCAGCAAAAAAAAAAAAAAAGGTGACAGAGTTGTTTCCTGGCCTGCACGTTGAGCATTTCTGAGATGCGGATGGATCTCAGGGTGCTGAAGTTTTCTTTACTCTCAGCAGGGCTTGCCACATGGAACTACTTATTCTGGAGAAAAGTTTCGCTCAACTCTTCATTGTGATATTTCTGGAAGCAGGACACATGTAATGGATCACACAACATCACCCTCAGTTATGAAGGATATGGCACTGCTCTCAGAAACTTCCTGCACACTTCTCAGAGCCCCAGAACAGAACTGAATAAAACATGGCTGCTGTTGTGGCTGTGTTCTGACAACAGAGGATGCGTGTCCCAACGGATACGCTGTCAGTATAGAATTGCTGTGACATGCTGCAGACTCCATGAGTTTCTCAGTGCTAAGACCTGATCCTGGGGCAGAAAAGAGAATGAAATGTCAGTTCTGGTGTGTGGGATTCATCTTTATCATTCTGTTGTTGTCAGTAGGAACTGTGCACGCCACAGGCTGGAAGCTCAAAGAAATGTATGGCGAGCTGAAGAGCAACATACCCAGGAACATGCTCAGACACTCAGATCTCCTGGAATTCTCTGTTTAGAAGAAAAAGCATGACTGTCATTATTATTCTTCCATGGGAAGAGAGAAGAACAGATATTTAGGGGGAGGAGCTGGAACAACCGTTAAGCTCACCTGTTAATACTTATTCGTTGAAACATTCCCATGAACACATGAGCAGGACCGTGTCAATGCCATGTAGATGCTCATCTCCTCAGATCTCTTTGTGTCTTGTTTGAGGACAGGACTTCGTTAATCCAGGAAACAGCCAGGGAAGGGATTTGTCTGCACAGGAAATGTGGAAGACAACATTAAGTACATCTCTACCAGATTATGGTGTTGTGAGGGGACGTGCTGGCTTCGTCCCAGGGCTGCTGGGCTTGGTGCTGTTGCCCTGCTCAGACAGCATCGGTGTTTCCAGAAACCTTTACACAGGGTTTCCCACCGCTGTTATCAGTCGTGGCACTGGGATGTGCAGCCACACAGGCTCAGAGGAAGGGGCCTGCGCTGCCCAGATAACTGCTTGCAGTGAATCACAGTGCAGCCCGCTCCTGCTGCTGCCTGTCCTCTCTACAAGACACATCTCATACACCATTCTAAACATTTCCACTGGCTGCAATACCAACCCACTTTCCTTACAGTGCACAAACATTTCTGTACTGAGGTAATACAATGCACACAGCAGGGGGGAGCAAGTCTATGGTGGAGTATTACCCAAGTTATAAAATCAGTTTATTACTCTATTGTGTGCCTAAACTTTCTAGAACATTTTAACAGATGTACTTTATAGTGAAATGACAACACCTCTTAATGAAATCCAGGTTTAGATTCTGGCAACATTTCTTCCTTAATTTTATATTTTGTAACAGACTCTACTAACCCACCAGGAAAAATCAATAGAATGTTTAGAGCATCCCACCATCACACCTTAGTGTACAGCTGCAAAGAGAAGAAAATAACTCTACGTGAGAGAATACAACTTACGTTTTCATTACTTGAAACCAAATTCTGTCTTCCTCTGTTGACAGTTATAAGTTCCAGTTTGCTCTGTTGCTTTCAGGTGAGATTCACACCAGCACTAGAACTTTTGCTGGACCTCTCTTGTGCTGTGTGCTATGTTTCTGATTCACACTGCAAACACTTCTGCGCTGGGTTGGCCTGAAGTGCTTCCCATGTCCCTCGCTGCTGCCTGTGCTGGGATCCATGCCCTGAGCACTCTGGAATGCCATGCACGCCCTGTGGAACCCATCACACGCACCGAGATGTGCTGGGCACAACCCAGCTGCCCGCTGTTACTGCGCCTCTGCTGAATACGGATGAATGGCAGATTTTTAAAAAGCTTGTATTTAGTCACATACATTTGCTTCAGGAGATCATTTCTGACATGGAGCAGCTCTGCCAAACTGTGCTCCTTCCTCAGCAGTACGTGAATGCTGCAGGTTTTCAGACAAACATCTGCAGGAATTGAAAATCAACAACAAAATAACAAAGATGTTACAACTCTGATCTGCCTAATATTATTCTTGGAAACGTTCTGAAACGGAATAAAAGGCATCCTGAGGCTGCCCTTTCAGGAAGCACCTGATCTGTACTGTCTGCAGCATCACGAGCAGCTCTGAGCAGAGTCTCCCAGCAGCAGCACAAGGCAGCCTGCATGCAGCACCCACCGCTCTGCAGTGTGCCAAGGCCCTGTGCAATAACCAGGATCCTTTTTCATAGAAGATTCCAAAGCCTCTCATGGCTGCACACTGACATTAGATGGCTGCTCTTGGCTCTGCAGGAAGTGCGTGCTGCTCGCAGCTGTTCTTTGAGGAAGTTCTCTGTGGAACAACTTCAAGGGGAAATGGTTTTAAGTTGAAGGAGGGAAGATGTAGGTTGGATATCAAGGGGAAGTTGTTTACTATGAGAGTGGTGAGGTGCTGGAACAGGCTGCCCAGAAAGGCTGTGGATGCCCCGTCCCTGGAGGTGTTCAAGGCCAGGTTGGATGGGGCCTTGGGCAACCTGGTCTTGTATTAAATGGGGAGGTTGGTGGCCCTGCCTGGGGCAGGGGGGTTGGAGCTCCATGATCCTCGGGGTCCCTTCCAACCCTGGCCATTCTGTGATTCTATGTGATTCTTGAACTTAGCCCAGATTTTACAGAAAGCTGTGTTTCACTAACGTGATGAAATCATGAAGCTTGACCTTCATCACACAGCTTTGTCTAACTTTTCAGATGTGATGGATCCAGATCACAAAAGAACATGCACATAAAGGTATTCACCTTGAAGCTGAATGAAGGCTCCCATTCAAATTACACCCAATGACACCAGCATTACTGTCAAATGCTCTCATGTAAGAAGTTAGCACGTGCTGGGGATCCAGGAACATTCCTCAACTACACAGCTGATGGCATTTATGCACTCTTGGCCAATGCAGATTGCACCATGGCTTCAAACTCCCTCAACTCCTTGGCTTTCCATCCCTTTGGGGTGTGAAACAGCTGCACCTCATCCATGACCTGAATGCACTTGAGTGCTGAGCTGCCCAGCTGTGGTACCATCAGCACAGGGCTTTGGTGTGAGCCCATGCTGACTCATTCCCCTCCCTACAGAACATGCGAGTTGAACAGGACCACAAATCCCAACAGTTACAGTGCATTTCATGATCCCAAATCACCCCAGTACAAAACAGGACAGCGAACATCTTAATCAAGTGAAACTTTAATAAAAACTGTTCTAAAGGTTGTTTGAAATCTACATCAACTTTGGTACAGAATGCAAGAAATTAAGACTGTAATGAAATCTGAACTACATAGAGCATTCTGAATATAAAGTGTACCTGTGATGAATCATATGAATCATACTGAATCATATGAATCACAGAATGGTTTGGGTTGGAAGGGATCTTTAAGACCTAGTTCCAAACCCCTGCTATAGGCAGGGACACCTCCCTGTAGACCAGGTTGCTCACAGCCCCATCCAGCCTGGCCTTGAATGCCTTCAGGGAGGGGGCATCCACAGCCTCGCTGGGCAACCCATTGCAGTGTCTCACCACCCTCACAGCAAAGAAATTCTTCCTACCATCTAGTCTAAATCTACTCTCATCAGTTTAAAGCCATTTCCCTTCATCCTGTTGCTACATGCCTTAATCCCACCCCAGTTTTCCTGTTGGCCCCCTTCAGGTACTGGAAGGATGCTACCAAAGCACAAAATGCAGGAAATACCAGCAATCACATTTGCAAAGAAAATGTAGTGTTGTTCTTCTACCAGCAGGTAAAGCCTGTCTGCAGTAGCAACTCCATCAAATTTGAGTTTCTGCTTTCCAAGCTGACTGCAGAGATATTCAGAAGATGTTTATGCTCTTGCCAAAACATGCTAATTGAGCTTTCCAGAGTTAAGACAAAGACCAAGTCCTCTATCAAACATGCTTTTCTGGACATATACGCAACCATGCTAAATTAAGGAGTAATACATAGTTGTGGTTAGCAAGAACTCACAAAAGCAGCCCGCAAGCCATGGGAGCCTTGGGAATCTGAGCATAATGTGCTGTAAAAGGTGAGGCTAAGGCAGCTCCTTTGAACTGAAATTCAGGTCCAAAGAGCTCAGTGTTCCTTGTTCTGGTCATCTGTTACAGCTTTCATAGTAGCTGTGAGGTTTACCTTTTCCACTGGTTTTCGAGGCCCATCTGTGCCACTCATTTCTATATTTTTCTCAGGACACTTTCCATTAATTTTTATCTTCTCTTTTGTGCCTACAAAGTTTTAAGTAACACAACATCAGCTGGCTTCTTTTGTTTTTCCCCTTTCAATCACAATTTACATACAGTAATTGTTTCATTGGCCAGGAGGCTGCTTGACTGACAGCGCTCTTCCCTGCACGGCTGCAGCAGGTTTGCCCAGTCCTGTACCCCAGTGGCACCAACACGTGATCTCATTCATACCTTTCTGAGATGTGCCAGTAAGCAATTAAAGTTCACTATTTACATAACCACTTCAATGGGAATGTGCGTTAACAATTCTTAAAGCAGAAATTCACACTTCTGAAATCACCTGTTTCAGTTCTCAAGACATTCATATCTGAAAATGTTTGGTTCATAATTTGGCTATCTCTTTCCAGCAACAAAGGGCAGAGACTCACTTGCATACAGCGTCTCACTCCAGCTCACAACCTCAGCTAAAGGCTTTCATTTTCTTTCAGTGTGTACCAGGGGGGGCTTGCACAGAACACAGCATCCCAGAGAAGCAAGGGGCATTCCTCAACACTCAAAATCTAAGAAAAAGCAAAGAGCAGGTGAAGCAATCGACCATTTTACTGACAGCAGTGGGTCAGACCCTGCTGCATTTCTCCCTCTCCCCGTCACACCCGGGCACGCACTTCCATCTCTCATTTTGCTCCAGGTCTACAGCCATGGGATCTGCTCAGAATGTGCCAAATGCAATACGGTGACATAAAACTAGCTCCCAACTGGATAGCTTTCTCCTGAACTAGGGAATTTCACTTGTTCTTGGAAGCATCCAATAAGGGACACGCCTAGCAGAAAGGAGGAGAAAAGAAATCCTGTGACTGAGGGTAAGGACAGGCAGCAGGGAGCTGCCAGACTAAGGCAGGTAACGTGTGGACTCTGCCTCACCTGCTGGGAGCCCTTCACTCAGCTCCGTGCCGTCTCCAGCACAGCCTGCATTCTGCACGCCGGCCTACAGAGCACATCGCTGCATTCCCATTTCCAACTTTCTCTTCCAAATGCTTAAGAATCTGAAATTTTAGACAAATAAATGGTGATTGTTAATACAGCCCACAAATAATAAATTGTCATGCTAGAATTCTCTTAAATGCAAGTACATTAGGTCATTTTTCACATAAATCAAGCATTCAAAAACTTCTAACAGAAGGAACTACTTAGATTCATAACAGAACTGTGCTTTATTTGTTACAGCTGTTCTTTTATGATACCTGATCCGAGACATAAATCCCTTTGTTTTGAAAATGGTGATTCAGATATTGAGCCCCAAGCATATATTAAGAGGGCAGATATAATTAATTTTAGCACTGTAATAAACTGCATCGTTGCCTGGGAAATCAAATCCTACAAATGGTGGCAAGGCTGAGTCATTCCCTTTGATAATAAAATGATGACATGTTATAACTTAATACAGACCAAAAACTGCACAATACTGTCCAGGCTACCACAGAAGAAAGTTAATGAAAGCTGAGGGTGAACTCCAAGAGGCTGTTGGTTCTCTTGCCCTGTATTAGGAGTGCCATAAATCAATTGCTCTTGGTTATATTAGAGGTGAACTGCAAGATTTTTTATTTTTTAATATTTGGACTCACAACCATTCTTTTTTATAATGAATACAAGAAAGACTTCTTTTCCTTTTCCTCTCCTACATATTCTTTTAATAAATAATTTACTGAAGTCATCTATCTACAGTGTTTGGAAACACTGCTGCATGAGGTCAGTCTGAGTTGGGACAGCTCAGCCCTGAGAGAGACCCCCTCAGGTCCTGGGGACGTCAACACCGTGTGTAAGCATCACCATGATGAGAGAGAGTAAAGACACAGCCAGACTTCCCAGTGGTGACCACTGAAAGGAGGAGATGCAACAGAACTGAACACAGAACACAGACTGAGATAAAAGAAATAATAATTTAAAAAATATATATGTTTATACAGGGAGGGTGGTTGATCACCAGCATAGGTTGCCCACAGGTTTTGGAGCCTGTGCTTGGAGAACTTCCAAACTGAACTGGATACGCCACAAGCAATGGGCTCTTGCTTTGAGTTGAAGTTTGGAACATTCTCCTGCAGAACTCCCTTCTGACCTCAGTAATTCTGAGTCTCTGATATTTGCTCATCCTGCATTTGCGAAAATTTGTGAATACATACAGGGAAGATTCAGATTGGACATAAAGATGTTTTGTACAATAAGGGTGATGAGGCACTGGCACAAGGTGCCCGGAGAGGTGGTGGATGTCCCATCCCTGGAGACACTCTAGGTCAGGCTGGACAGGGCTGCGAGCATCTGATGGAGCATGAGTACTATTGGTGATAGGTGGATGGTTGGACTGGATGATCTTGAAGGTCTTTTCCAACCTTGGTGATTCTGTGATTTTAGTGAGCTGTAGGCGTCCCTGTTCATTGCAGTGAGTTGGACTGGATGGCCTTTCAGGGTCCCTTACAGCTCAAAAAATTCTGTGATTGTGTTTTCACATCATTTTACAGAATTTTTGTTTTACTCTTGAAGTAAGAAATTCACAACACTTTGTAATCATTTAAGTGTAAATTCTCTGAAAACAAATGAACATTCCCCTATTTTGATATAATAGCTCACTTTTTTTTAGGTTATCACATCAGAAACACACATCTCCAGCACCCTCATAGCCTACGACAAAACATCAGACTTAAATTTAACCTAATACAAGATTCTATTCTTGGAAAAGCCAAGCCCAGAAATGGAAAGCATATGTGCTTGGTCTTTCCAATACGTAATATTAAGGGAAATTCTAAGTACAGTTTACCCCTTTCTGATTTATTTGAATCCACCAGTAGCTGCACTGGCTGATTATTTCATTTATTTACATTAGGCAGCTGTTTAAGTCTTTCACCACACAGAAGGAAGTGCCTTTTTCCAAGAAGCATCAGTAGCTCACTAAAAGCTTTTCCACACAACAGAAACCACGGGCAACAGTTTACAGAATGCGTGCCCAGTGCTGAGCACTGCAAGAAGCCCACAGCTCGTCACACCGAGCCCAGTAGCCCGAGGGGCACAGTATTTCCTTCAGATCACGTCAGAGTTTGGGCTAGAAGGAGCTCAGAGCCCAGCCAGTCCCGGACCCACCACGTCAGGCTGCCCAGGGCCCACCCAACGTGGCCCTGAGCGCCTGCAGGTCGGGGCACCCACGGCTCCCTGGCCAGCTGTGCCAGTCCTCACCGCCCCCTGAGTAAAGCCCTTCCCGCTCACATCTGACCCAAAGCTCTCCTCCGTCAGCCCAAGACCACCTCAGATCCGTGCAGGTTATTGGCAGGAGACCCGCTGGGCAGCTCTGCCCACCCAGCATTACCGGTGCCGGCACAGGCTCGGCCGGAACGTGGGCTGACGCCAACCGCCGGGGCCTACCAGCCACCGCGGAGCGCTGCGTTATAACCGCCCGGCGGCACGGCGCGTCTCCGAGCCGCCATTTCCCTCAGCGGCCGCAGACCGGCCGCCTCCTCAGCCACCTTCGCGCCTCTCCCGCGCACCCGGCCTCCCGCCTTCGCTCCACTATCGCGAGAACTGTGCGCGCGCCGCGAGACATCCGGGCCGTCGGCTGCGGGACAAGATGGCGGTGGAATCGCGCGTCACGCAGGAGGAGATCAAGAAGGAACCGGAGAAGCCGATCGATCGGGAGAAGGTGCTGGTTCTGCGCTGGCCGCCGCCGCGGCTGTTCGCGGGGCCGCCGGGAGGGGTGGGAAGCGTGGCGGGGTTGGCGCCGTGAGGCCTTGGCGGGGGTGCGCGCTGTGTGCCTCACGCCGCCTCCTCCCGTCCCCAGACGTGTCCGCTGCTGCTCCGCGTCTTCACCACCAACAACGGGCGGCACCACCGCATGGACGAGTTCTCCCGCGGCAACGTGCCCTCCAGCGAGCTGCAGATCTATACCTGGTGAGCTCGGCCGGGGCTGTGTGTAATGGGGTTGTGCTCTGGCATCTCCTGCGCCGTTGCCGTCAATGTAATTAACGCGGGGCGCCGTCCTTCCGTAGAAGCAGCTGTCCCAGGAGGCTGGGACACTGCAGCACTTCTTCTCTGTGTGTGCGGGTAGAATGGCTGCAGCGCTGCTCACGTTGCGTTTGCAGCAAACAGGGAGAAATCCTTTCGTCTGTGCTGTGAATGCATTAATTCCCTTCACAGCATTTTGAAGAGCAGTTTTGAAGATGGATTGTGTTGCTTTATAAACACTGTCTTTCCTCCAAGGTTTCTGCTAGAGCTGTAACATGTGCGTCACTGTGTGTTTGAATAAATCCACTGTTGTCCCTAAGAGCACACACTTCTAATGGACTTCTGCAGGGGGTTTATGAACTCTGCAGGCTGTTAATGATGTCTAAGCCATCCGCAGAGCAGTGAGAGCAGGCATTGTCAGCCAGCCGTGGCACAGAGCTCCCAGGGAGCCTGCAGAGTGGTCCTCAAAGCTGCTTGGGTGCCTGTGGTCCTTTTGTTTGTAGAGTTCTGAAGTTAGTTTTGGCTCTGCTCTGATTGAAGAGTGGAGAGAAGGAGGAGTGCCATCTATTAGGGCAGAAGTGGAAGTACTGGTGGAAAACTGCTCATGATTCTTTGTTTTGCTTTTATTCCTGTGCTTCCTCTAAGAAACCATTTTAACATTAATACCAACTTGAATAGGGAAACACATTCATTCTAAATGTATTTAAAAATGCATTATAAAAAAGTCGTTTTTTTTGAGAGAGAGACCTGGAAGAGCAATTTGATCAGTATTGGTTGTTTGGAATGCCACATTGTTGTGAAATAAGTGTCTCCCTGTATAGCTGAAATATGTGAAGTATTACTCTTCTTCTTGTATTGAGAGGAAGCATGCAAAAGCAAGGAAATGTTTGTTTAAGTGGTTGCAAAATACCAATTCCATCTTAAATGCGTATTGGAAAGCTTTTTCGATTGCTGCTTTGAGCAGGTGAACCACTTGGGTTTGTTTGTTTATTTAATGTAGGATGGACGCAACTCTGAAGGAGCTCACCAGCTTGGTGAAGGAGGTGTACCCAGAAGCACGGAAGAAGGGCACGCACTTCAATTTTGCAATTGTTTTTACAGATCTCAAGCGACCAGGCTACAGGTAAAGGGCATTTCTTCTCCAGGCCAATAGAAGGCTCGAGGGAGCACAGCAGTAAAATCCAATGCTGATTTTAAAGTCAAGTGTTCACAGATAATATTTCTGAATTTCATGATAACAGACTGCGGGATTGTTGTTATGAACTCTGCGTTTTGATTGGTAACTGCTGTAGTTTGTGTTCCCTAAACAATGAACGTGTTTGCTTAGTCATTTGGAGCGCTGAATTGGCCACCAGCTAAACGTGGGCCCACAGCGCGAGGTGGAGCTTCATTTCTGGAGATCTGAGACTGCTGTGCAGTCTGTGGGGCTTTAGCTCTGTGTGAGTGGGCAGGGGGTTCTGTCTCGTGCTAAGATGGCTGAAGGGTCCCCACCCCTATGCCCTGTCAGAAAGACTCAGTGTAGCTTTACTTGGTGCAGAAAAAAACCCTGTGGATGTAGCGAGGTGCGCTGTGGAACATGGAATGTTGAGGTTGGAAAGACTGATGCTGCTCCTGGGTTGACATGCAAAGCCTGGCTCTGGTAACTAACTGCCTTTCATCTCCATGCACAGGGTGAAGGAGATCGGCAGTACCATGTCGGGCAGGAAAGGCACAGATGATTCCATGACATTGCAGTCCCAGAAATTCCAGATAGGAGACTACCTGGATATAGCCATCACTCCTCCCAACCGCGCACCGCCACCTTCCAGCCGCATGAGGCCATACTGAGCTATTGCTGCTTTGTATGATTCTGTTTTCTGCTTATTCCTCCTTGCTGTTCTAAAGCAGGCTTTTTTTTATTGCCTTTATTGTCAAGTAAGAACACCTGAAGACAAAGCTAAACGTCAAGGGTATAAGTCACATTTTAAGCCTTTTAGTTTGTTTAGAAGGAACACTTAATCTTTAGCAGTGCCATCGCTGTGTCCTTGATTGGTTCATAGGTTGCAAAGTACGTTGGTGTGTCTCGTGTTTCAGGTTTCCATAGAATGCAACCAGAATGATTACAGGTGTTCTGTAGTTCTGTCTTGTGTGGAATAAAGATGGCTGTTATTAATCTTTTGAACGTGACTGTGTGTGTGCTTTTTTAAGCTTATTTCTGCAGACAAATTCAGAAGTTGGCTTTTAAGCAGAAGTTAAAATATTTGGAGGGCATTCACTGCCCGTTCAAAAAAAAAAAACAAACAAAAACCCCACACCGAAACAGCTGCTTTGTTTATATACATCCACCACTTCAGTAACGTGTAATATCAACACAGAGACAAAAAGATGAAAGAAAGGCCATGTTGCTTAATGGTGCAAAAATGACCTTTCTGTACAGGGGTGGTTTGTTTTGTGTGCCCTGCTGTGGGTACCTACTGTGCCTGAACGTGGGAGTGGCTGCAGAATAAGACAGAGCCTGTGGCTTCAGAGCTATTTGCTGCTGGAAGTATAGTTTCTAATGAAGTTATATATGCTGACCAAGTAAGTTTTCCTCCGTGCATTTTAGGAAGGTGAATGCTGTTACCTCTCCCCCTTAGTTACCCTTGGCTAATCAACAGATAAAATATTAGGCTCTGTGCTGATTGGTATGAGATGACTTTTCCCGAATAACTGTGATGTGCAGAGTGCCGTTTTCTTGGATTGCAGCAGCCCTTGGGTGCTGGCTGGATGAGGCTGAGTGGTGAGCGGCTGCTCCTCCACCACCCCACAGGTCAGCGCAGTGCGGAGGGCGCAGGCTGCGCGGTCCCTGTGGCGGAGCTGTGCCGTGCTGTCCCTGCAGGGGGAGAGCTGGAGCCGCGCACTGCCTCGGCTCTGCGGCGGTACTTCGTGGGTGAAGCGGCGGAGTGTCGGAGGGCAAATCTCTCGTCAGAGCGAAGTTTGGCCGGAGGCACGCGGCAAGGAGATCAGCTGAAGTTTTCGTTCACGTGGAAATTATGCGACGGTGAACTCCGTGCTTCAGTGTTGCAGACATAGGGGTTCCAGCAAAGGCAGCTCCATGCATCCATGCCGTAGTGGTTTTCCTTCCTGTGCTGACATGTAAGGCCATTGGGTTCTTGCCATGTTCCTCCACTTTCTGAACCCTTTTAATTAAAAGATATTCGAGGTGTCCGAGCAGTGTACGTTCCCTAAGTCAAAAATTCACTTTGTGGTCGAGTCCAACAGCAGTCAGTTTAAAGTTAGGACAGCAGGATACAACCGTCCATGTGCTGAAAGAGGTGTAAGTGAAAGCTGACTGCGCTGGTAATGAGCATCCCATCAGCAATGAGCTCCTTCAAAACTATCACAAGTGCTGAGGAAGGAAATCAGTCACCCAAAGGGACAAGTGATGTACAACACAGCACTCTGCAGAACCTGAAACAGTCTCAAAACTCAACAGCAGTGAGCAATCCCATACGCTCAAGAAGCGAACGCTACACACAGCTCTGTCAGTTAGCAGGGCTGCCTTTGTATTTGGAGATCTAATGAGTGTTTGTCCCTCATCAAGGCAGTGAGCAAGGTGGGGCGTTCACTACCTCTCGATGCCCCAAGCTCTGACACAGCACTAAGAGACGCAGCTCTCCATCCCACAGCCGCGCTGCCACCAGCAACCGCTCCTCCAAAGCTCTCATTATTTTTTCAGCAGTGTAACTCCAGGAACTCCACCCTGTGTGGGGATGCAGCAGGATGGAATGGCTCCAGCTACAAGACCCAGGAAACCAGGCCCTTATTTTCTCCTTTCTACGCTCAGTAACTCAACCACTCTGCTCCTGCAGCTGAGACTTCATGTGTCCATACTCCTTCAGCACATCCCTCCTGCTGCTCCAACCTCGTTTTGCCTAAGGGACAAATTCCTTTCTGCCACGCTCAGCCTCGACTAAAGGTTGTTTTCAGCCCCCCTCTCATTTCATCTGTCCCTGTTAGGTCCTGCTCCAGCACCAGGGCAGTGTGTGCCTCTGATGTCTTGATGCTTAGCAAAGTTTTTACGTAGAACTTTTGGGGAAGGCTGGCTGCATTCTGCTGAAGGTGACAATGTCTGGGTTAATCCTTTCCCTGTTTAAGAGGTGAGGACAAGCCACATGCTTTGTCAGTTGCATCAGAGCTGTTCCTTGCTCCATCAGTGAACTTAAGTTTGCTTTACAGCTCTAGTCAAAAGAAGGAATGGTCATGATGCAGATGGAAAAAATAAGCAGTCTCAGCAAGTGGTTTCAGGAGGAGCGCTGGGTGGAACTGCCTCTGCTGCCCCAGAAATGCTCACAGAGCAGTGGCCACAGGAGAACTCACCAGTGCAGCTGTGCAGACAGCCAGCTCAGTACTGTGAGCAAGGGCAGGATTTCACAAGGCACTCAGACTGTTGACAGGAGACGTCAGTGTTCCCTTCCCATGCAGCCCTTTCCTTTCTCTGGTCTCATCCCAGGCAGTGCCTTTGCAGGTGAGTGGTGGTTTGGGTCAACGCAGTGTCTGAATAATGTCACCTTGCAAAACACCTCCAAGGGCACTCCTGCCCTGCACAGGGTAGGCACGAGTATGATCCCAGGAAGCCCCAGCAGCGAAGTGCAGTGACACACCAGGCTGTGGGAGCCTGCAGTTTGGGGAGACGAAAGGTGGGCCCGTGCAGCAAAGCCTACGTTGGTTTCCAGCAACTGCATAAGCCATCATTACAGAGCATAACTGCTGGGCTCTAGTCACAAAGTGTGCCAAAAACCATGAACACCTTCCTATCAGGCATTCTGTGATACAACTAGCTTTTGCCTGGCCTCCCAGCAGAAATGCCCATTAAGCACAGTATCTTCCAGAAGCTGTATTCTCATGTATGCATAGTTGTGCCGTTTTTTAAACCCCTCCAATTTGCGTTAGACACGGCCAATGCAACGCATGGACATCAGCAGCTGCCCCCTTGTAAGAGTGGCCATTAGCACAACAATAGCACAGTGGGTCATGCTGACAGATAATACAGACAGCACTGATTGACATTTTTAGCAGGAGGTTGCATTTCTGTGGAATAACACTCATGATTTCATAGTGCAGCCACTGGATGTTGTCCTTGCTCCTTCTATGTGCCACAACCTCTGTATTACTGTGCCATGGGAAACAAGGCAGAGGGCTGTGAGAGATACTCCCAAAAGACCAACAGATCCAACACCAGCTGCAGATGTTGGGACACATGCAACCACAAGAACTGGAACACTGGGATAATGAAAACTGACTTTCTGTAAAAAGAAAAAACAAAGCATAGTGCACTGCTTAAAACTGTAAAGCATCCATGATGCTTTAAATAACCAAGGAAGCCTGCGCTCCAGTTATCACTCCAGTGATTTATAAAAACCATCAGTAAAAGCTCAGCAGAAAGAACTGGAGTGACATTCCTCATTTGCCCATTTGACAGCCACCTGGGAACTTCCATTTCCCTGTGAGATTTATATTTGTATTTAACCCCAGGCAAATTATTTCCAAGAAAACAAAGTATTTGCCACTTTGTGGGGCTGCCTAGGCAGAACAATTTGAGGCACTCCTTTGACAACCAATGGGATTATAGAGAGAATGCTCTGTAAGCTGACACATTTTATATACTAAAACAAATGCAAAAGGATTAAGAACCGTAGCAAATGAGGGAAAACCAAAGGCCATGCTTTTCTGGTTACTTCCCAGATGTCCCTAACTACCAAAGTGCAGCTTCGTGCTGTGCTCCATCTGTTCTGACTGCAGGCTACTGCTAGATGATATGATTCCATGCTCACCCTTCCTGTGCATCTAATGTAGCAATCACGCAGCCAAGAATTGAATTTGAGATTACTAATTTCCACGGGGAGAGAAACTAGAAAAGGAAACAAAATCTATCAGTCTTTCAGTGGCTCAGCAGGTGGTAACCACCATAGAACTGCACGACCTGTACTTTCTGTGCAAGAGAAGTAGTGAAACAGCAGCTAGTGGGAACAGCCCCATGTTGTGGATTAGGCACAGCTCAGACTCTGAGTCAAATTTGCCTGTTATCAGATGAAGACTGTCTCTTCCAAAACTAAGGCTTACTTACTTAGCTACCGTGTATTCAAACTGCACTGACACTCCAGTGCTGTTTCCAGATTCACCTACAACAAAACAACACATAACGTGTCAATTCTACTGCGTGATTCCTGACTCTAACCTGACATAAAGACACGCCTTTCTCCAGCAGCAGCACAGGCTTAGGGAGAGCCGTAAGCTCCTGCAGCCCCAAGGCTACATCCATGATTGCTGCAGTGCCAGAACGCTTGGTTAATCACAGGGCTGCACAGGCACCTGCATGAGAGATTCTACCACTGCCTTCCCCAGCTGGTTCTGAACAGGGATCAGTTTTGTATGCTGCTAGTTTCCAGTTCTGCTTCCCTCTTCTCACGCTACTGCTTAGGTCTTACTGAAACCCAGGCAAGACAAATCACAGCTTGCTTTTGTTCTGTTGCTCTGACTGCATCCACCTCGTTGTAATATTCCTCCTTACACAAGGACAGTAAGCACAAACAGTATTACTACTTGAACAGTTCTGTAAACAAAAACCCCCAAACAAGCTTGTAAAACTCAATTAGTAGATCCCAAAACATAACCTCATACCACTATAATGTCATACGAGATTGAAGGCAACAAAGATGGAAAGGTCTGGAGGGCAAGGTATGTATTAGTGGCTCAGGTCCCTGGGTTTGTTCAGCCCAGAGAAGAGGAGGCTGCACACAGAGGAGGATTCCTGTCCTAAAACAGACTATTTTGTACCTTGTTAGGCCTATGACATTCCATGACTAGCATCCAGCCCATCAAGTGGGTATAGTTTGTAAGATGCTGGAAGGAGATTTGGCCATCACTCCAAAAGAGTTGGGTAAGACGAGTGGATGTTTTTATAGCAGCAGATGATTAGTAAAAAAGTCAGCTGCTCCTGGTAATATGATGTACACTCACCTCAGAAAGTGACTGTGACAGCATGACAAAGGCTCCTATATTTGCTAAATTTCAGCCATGCCAAGTCCCTCTAAGCAGCCAGACAAATACTTTCTGGCAGCTCCAGCCTGAGAATTTCAAAGAACGTGCAACTGTGTTCAGAATATTCAGAAAAGCACACACTAAAGTAACAGTATTTTAGCTGTCAACAGGAAGACTGTGTATAGCTGGTAAGAGCAGTGCTCACAGCAATAGCTGACACAGGCAGCAGCTCTAAAGAGGGATACATAGTTGGGATTTCTTTTGGACAAGAGAAAGATCTCTGGTGGAAAAAAATTCCAGCTGCTGTGACTACCAGATACCAGTAAATTGCCCAACAGCTCTGAAGAGTTAAGGTTGGTGAGCTACTGCAGGGATGTGCTTGCGTGACTGGAAGTAACATCACCACTTACAGAATGCATGTGGCAGCAGCGCAGGAGACAATACAGCAATCCCCAAGCAGATCTTCCAAGCAATGAAAGAAAAAGCAGATATCTCATTGGTAACATTTGAAAATATACTGTGCAATTACTTCACATTCAAGATAGTAACATTCTAGGGCTGTAGGTATTAGGGTACTAAAAGGAAAATGGGTGCCTGATACTTAATATGATGCCTAAGCAGGAAAACTGCAATTGAAGAAGCCTGTCTATCAGCCAGGTGACAGCATGAGGAAGGAATACCTGTTTGATATGTCTTAGTACTGCAGAAGGGATAGATGTCCTGGAGCTGCTTTAAAACAGTAAGGCAGGAATTACTCGTCTTCAACAGAACTCCTTTTTATGTGACATGTCCAAGTACTGCACTTCAAACTCTGCCCTGAAACAGGCAGTGTCAGCAGACTGCCTAGAGATGTCTGCTTTCTGGGCAGCATAACGGACTTCCCTTCTCTTGCAGTTTAATTACACTTCTCTACAGACCATTGCATCTGAACACAGACAACAAACACAAGAATCAAGTGAAACAACTGAAGTATTACATCATATAATACATGACTGTAGTCCCCCGTGAAGCAATATTAGAACAACAACAACCAAAACCCGACCTATTTTGCTACTAATTTTAATGAAAAAATTAAACGACAGAATTGTTAGTTCAAGCAAGTTAATACACATCAAGTTTTCTCCAGAAAAAAAAAGATTTTCCTTTTGTGGGTCCTTCCTCCCAGTATTTCTTTTTTGCTTTTTGAGCTCTCTATGGTTCAGTGATAAGATCCATGAATGTGAAATAGTCTTCAGCTTGATTTCAAATGTCTGACTTGAAAAAATCAGGATATCCTCTGCAAATACATCCAGAAGTGTTCATGAACTCATTACCTCAGTCATATTCTGAATTAGCACAAGACACAAACACTGAAAGCTTGCTCAATAACAGCAACAAAAAGACAGCTAAAATAAGAACTTTACTTTCTCTGATTAATCAAATAGATTCTAATTCCATGTACATTAAGATATCTACTCCTCTTCATCTCTTGCTGAATTTGTTGCAGCTATTATTCCATATACTTCTTGCACCTCTTATCAAGATAATCTTTAGTGACCCCAAGCGTAACAGAAAATCATTAAGTATAGCACATTATATTGAATGAGGAATATCTACACTAGATCAATGAAAAAAAGTCTATGTAAATCACATTTTTCTTAAGCCCATAATTCCCTTGTCCAAAGATTACTTAGGCTTATTGTAGACTAATTCCATTTCAAATATTGTTCTAAGGTGGCTTTGGATTTCAAATGACTTAGTATCTACCTGGTCTTGTTTCAGCTAGGATTGAGTTAATTTTCTTCCCAGTAGCTAGTACATCTATTTTGAATTTAGGAGAAGAAAGAATCTGATAACACACCAGAGCTGTAGTTGTTGCTGAGCAGTGCTCACACGAAGTCAAGGTCATTTCACTCCTCGTGCAGCCTGGCCAGCGAGGAGCTGGATGTGCACATGGAGCTGGGAGAGACCAGAACCAGGACAGCTGGCCCAAAGCAGCCAAAAGGACATCCTGCAGCACGTGGCTCATGCCCAGCAGTGACACTGTGGAGCTGGCTGGTAGGGGCTGGCTGGCGGTGAGCAATTGTGATAGGCATCAGTCCTTCTCCTTTCTCCCCTCCTCTATTATTAAACTGCCTTCATCTCAACCCATGGGTTCTCACGTGGACTCTCCTACTTCCAACTCTCTCTTCCACCCCCCTGGGGTTAACCCGGGAGAGAACAGCTGTGTGGTGCTTGGCTGCCTGCCAGGGTAAGCCACAAGTGCCCAAGTGACAGTGTGATTACTTCTGTCACTTAACATAGTTGTCTGCAGTTCTTTATTGCCTAGATTTACTGACGCAAGCTTAAAATGTTCAGTTGATTGCCACAAAGCAAAATATACCTACAGATAATTTCACTGTTTTTTCTTCAATTTATTTCCTTTCTCCTCCCCCCTTCATTTTTCTTAAAAACTTCCCAGGATTCATAATAAAAAAAATATATATATTTGTTCTTTGCAGTAGAACCAGCCAGATACTATGCCAAAGATTAGATATTTAGTCATCTGGAGAACAAGCAGCTGTATGAATTTTCTATACGCACTGAAGTCCTCCTAACTCTTCAAAATTAATTCCTCTTTGGAGAAGAGAAGGCTCCGGGGGGGGCCTCACTGTGGCCTTTCAATATTTGAAGGGAGCAGAGAAACAGGAGTGGGAACGGCTGTTTATGAGGGTGGATAGTGATAGGACAAGGGGGAATAGTCTTAAACTGAGACAGGTTTAGATTAGATATTAGGAGGAAGTTTTTCACACAGAGGGTGGTGACACACTGGAACAGGTTGCCCAAGGAGGCTGTGGATGCCCCATCCCTGGAGGCATCCAAGGCCAGGCTGGATGTGGCTCTGGGCAGCCTGGTCTGGTGGTTGGTGACCCTGTCCACAGCAAGGGGGTTGAAACTAGATGATCACTGTGGTCCTTTTCAACTCAGGTCATTCTATGATTGTGATTAAATTTCAATTACATAACCAAATTTGGGACATCTGATCATACCTGTTCTCTTTGTTGCAGTAGTCACTGAAATCACTTCCAAATCTTGCAGCATCTCCTGCCTTAGTCTCCATTTTCTTAGATATAGAAGAGTCTACGTTATGGTTATACTTTGACAGAATCTACAACATTAAAAAAGGAACAGAAATAACTTTAGAACTCCAAATAAGATTACAATCTATGCATTCTAAGTAAGTAGCAGAGAACTCTTTCTTTTTGAGGCACAACACTTGATAAACAAACCCTTTCTGATATTACTGTGGTGATATGAAAACTATCCAGATAACAAACAGAGCTAACCTGTAGTACATCATCTGGTATCCTTGTTATTTCTGGAGGTGGAGGAGTGCTGAGTAAATGGTCGTACTGTTTTATTTTGGGAGGAGATGGGTTCCCCAAACGCTTGAGATACTCATCAGAGCTCACAGCAGAAGGAACACTGTCTTCTATGTTTTGTTGTTCTGTTGCACTGTTTTCGGTCACCAACATGATCTTCTCTTGCATTTCCTGTTACAGAGAAGCTATTATATGCCTTCATTTATTTTTCTTAGGTGAAGTATTTAACAACGTGTTCTTACAAAATTACCAATAAGAAAGCATTGTTTACAAGGACAAGAAAAATGGGTATAGGAAAAGGAGAGCAAACTGACATTTGAAGAACTGCTTACAGCACTAGTTCATGAAAGTACACGTAACTGCTGTGTAGTACCATAAGTTCTCTTTTCAGCCATCTGGCTTCAAAATCCGGAGGTGGCGGCGTTGCTGCATGGCTGGGAAGAGGCAGTTTGTCTCTTTCTGGTGACTTGGCTAACTCTGTACTGTCTGCCCGGGAAGGGATTTTCACACCAGGTGTGCAGAACACGGGTATCATAGGAGAAGCCATACAGTCAGCTGCTGGAATTAGTGAAAAGAATCAATAAACCCATCAATAAATGTACGTACATATTTTTAGCTGCAGTGCTCCAGTTTAATTTTCCAAATCAATTGGCTTGTTACAGATTTATTTACATATTCCATAACATCTGGACCATTTTAGTTCAACTGTATCATTTTAGTTGACAAAACTTTTAGTATGAAAACACAGCCAAATTGCAGAGCTCTAACAGTAGTAAATAAAGAAAACAAAGCTGATCAAAATAATCTTGTCTCACTACCAAATATAATTGAAAGAGCCCAACTTAAACCAGCACTGCTTCAGATTTCCATATGCTCAGTAGTCTGTTTGTTTGCTGCAAGACTTTCAGATGTTTACCAAAGAATATATTAGATCTCCTAGAGAAATTTCAGTGCTACTATTGAAAGATGTAAGTTACTGTTTGGTTAATCTGTTTTAAAGCAGTTTCTTTCTCGTTCATTCAACTGGCTTTAAATAGACGTAATGGGTAACTCTTGGAAAAAAAAGTTTGGTTCCTGTAATAGTAGTTATTAGTGGCGTGGATAAATAGCAATTCTGATATGATGGAAGCCTCTGCACAATTCTAGATGGATATGAGTAGAAGAATAAGCAATGATTTCTACTGAAGCACACAGATTCCCCATAGGAGCCACTGACTTGACTTTTCCATATACCAGTAAGCAAATAATGACTGGACACAAATTAACTATATTTAACAAGAAACAGATTAAAATATTACCACGTGTTAACACACGTTATGTTAAAAAATAGCAAACCTACATTTACTTGACATATTTTTAACTTACAGTTCTCATCTGTTGCTTTTGTTTTCGGCTCAGGAGTAACTGCTATTTCCCTGGATGGCATTTTTGCTACATTCACTTCATCATCACCTTTTTTAACTAAGCTGAAAAACAAAAACCTCAATCAGCTCTCAAGTAACATGAAGACATCATTACTAAAGAAATACTGTCAACTCCACCACTTGTCTAGCATTTACTCATGAGTCTAAAATGATTTACTATCTCTGATTCTGCTCCTACTGTGCAAAGGTTCAGTCCAGCCAAGGCATTAAAAGTAAGGAACACATTGCCCAGAGATGCTGTGGATGCCCCCTCCCTGGAGGCATTCTAAGGCCAGGCTGGACGGGGCTGAGAGCAACCTGGTTTACAGGGAGGTGTCCCTGCCTACACTGGGGGCTTGGAACTAGATGATCTTAAAGGCCCCTTCCAACCAACCATTCTATGGTTCTATGATCTAGAACTCCTCAGTAAAAAGCCTAAGCCTCAAGAAATCCATGTGAGGCAGCGTATCTCCATGAGATCAAACCTCCTGCTGTGAGTCTTCTTTCTTAAAAAGAAAAAAGAGAAGGAAAAAGAGAAGGAAAAAGGAAGGAAAAAGAGAAGGGAAAAGGAAGAAAAAAGAGAAAGAAAAAGGAAGAAAAAAGAGAAAGAAAAAGGAAGAAAAAAGAGAAAGAAAAAGGAAGAAGGAAGAAAAACCAACCAAACAAAAAAAACACTAAAAATTAAGGAAAATTAAGGGAAAAAAAACCACTTTTCCACATCAGTTTTTCCTCAGTAATATTATTGATACTTGAAACCCTATGTGTTTGGGTTATGGTTATACTTTCTCTTCTTCATTATAAACACTTCTGTTTATTGTTTTTTTTTTTTTCCTTTCTCTCTCCCTATTACTTTTGTTTTCAGTTCTTCAGTGCATGCACACAAAATACATGGTTCTTTCTACCTGCTTCAGAACTGAAAACGTGAACAGAAGGGAACTGAGAACTCAATGAGTGTATGTATGAGTGTGTACAGACACACACACACACACACCTGTGTGTGTACACACACAGAAAGCAAGATTAATTTTTTATGAAATGTTATATAAAATTATAAATAAAATTTGTGGATGTATTCATTTAGAAATTGTAGTCAGAATTAAAACTGAAATCAAATTTAAGACAGTTCTCACTAAGCAAAAAAAACACAACAAAAAATACAATAAAAAAACCAACCCAATGAAATATAAGTTAAAGACAACAAAAGATTTTAACTTATGCAATAAGTTGAAGCTTTTAACAAAATATTATCTGAGGAACCAATTTTAAGTTTGCATCATTTAGGATTCAGTAACAGCTTTCCAATTATTACAATTCCAATACTGTATGCTACAGCTGTGTAAATGCCACCTGCCTATTTGGCAGGAGAAATCCCAAAACTCTTTGAAGAGAAAATGAATCTTTTCAATTTTACTTTTCCCCCCAGTAATCTAAGAAAGAAAAAAAACACTGAAATGTAACCATTGTGGAACATTGGAACAAAGGGAACAAAGTCACTGAAGCTGGTACAGCTCTGAAGAACTTCACATGAGCTCCTGCATAGCAAATATCAGGGATTTAAAAAATAGAATTAGGGAAGTCTCTCTAAAAACCAAATGCTTAACTGCTGAACAGAATATTTCTCTTAAATACTGTCATTTTTTAAAATTGGATGTGTGGCTAATACAAATCATACAAACATTTTTTAACCACTCTTTCCCAGGAATAGAAGTCTAGAAATGTGTTTTGAGTTGAAGGCTGGAGCAAAAAGAAGCATCTGCTTGAAGCTGGATAACAGAAGAAATAACACAACCTGCTCCCATTGTGAGTCATTTAACCAAATGCTTCCTAAGTTCTTTCAGTACCACCTTGTAATGCTTTTCAAAACTTCATATTGGTAACAGGAAGTCTACCCAACGTCCTCAAATACAAGCCCTAGGTTAAATAAAGCAAAACATCACAGGAGATACTGTGCCTTTTCTCCTTGTAATGGAGACATTCTTATGCAGCCAGGGAAGGATATACCCGAGATAGGTCTCCTATAAGTAGCTTGCATTGCAAAGGGTACAAGAAAGAGGAGCAGAGTTCAAGGTAGGCAGAAAACTAACAAACAAGTAGATAATAACAAATCACCTGTTAGCAGAAAAAAAAAAGTAGGCAATAGCAACAAGAGAAGGGTACATCATCAAGAAGAAACAATGGAAAATTCAATAGGGAAACAATCAGAGCTTCAAGTATTTACTTACTTGTTTGACTGAGCAGTTTTATGAATAAGTGCCATGGTGTAATCTTCATTCATACACATGGTGTGTTCACTAATGCCAAAGTGTTCCAGTTTTGGTGTTACGCACTCAAAGTCGTCCATCTTTAGCATGCATTTGGGTGTTTTGGGCAGAACACAAGGGGCCTGCGTTTTTTGGGGAGTTTTGTGCTTTGCATTTTCTTGACTGGCATTTGCTGCACGTTGTTGTCCATGTAATGCACTCCATGGCCTGGAGAAAGCATACTGTGATAGGCCGAAATCAGAAAGCTGGGGGTTCCGCAGCGGGTCTCTGGGCACAGGTGGGTTCTCAGCACAGGCAGGAAGAGGAGGTACATCATCTGCTTCTTCCTGATCAGATTTACTCTGGTCAGATGCCTTCGAATCACCATTCGCCTCCTCTTCCTGCTCCTCTAACAAAAGAGAGGAGAGTTCATTTTGTCAGAAGTTTATCTTTTAAGAATTTTTAAAATAAATTGGGAATTTTCTCCTCCCCCCCTCACCTCCAAGTAGTCTTTTTTTTTTTTTTAATGTTTATTACTCTAAATATTAGAGTAATATTACTCCTTTCATTTTAAAGCACTGAACCTGAATCTTCAACTATCAAAAGCTCTTATCAGGCTAAACTGTATTTAGAATGCAGGCCCAACACTTACTGAATTGCAGTCCATTGGTAAATACTTCCAGAGGTAAATGAAGCTGAAAGCTTCTTACACTTAATACATTTTTAATAGAATCCAACCTCCCTGCACAGCCTAGGCAGAAAGTTTTAATTTTAAATACACTTATCTGTCTCCATTTCACTGCAAGAGTAAACATTTGTTAAAAATGTTGAAGAAAAAACTGTACAGAAAGAAGTGATGACTAAAAAGTCATGAAAGATAACATGAGTTCACTGCAGAAATAAGCCAAGGTGTAATTTGCATGATTCTGTATTACATGAATGGGAATAGCGGGGGGAGGAGGGATGGTCAGACTGGGTGATCTTGGAGGTCTTTTCAACCTTAGTGGTTTTGTGATTGTGATTTGTAAAACACCCCCAAATATTTGTGAACTGCTGCATGATATAAGCAGCAGATGATTTAAGCTTATGGGATAACAACACACGAATATGAACTAATTCAGATGCATCTGCAGTAGCTCATTGTGCCAGAGAAGCTGAAGCAGCCCAGCTGTCTGGGTTATCAGAACGTGCTGGCTAACCTCTCCTCTTTGTATAGCTATTAGTGAAGAGAAAAACACTCCAACCAAGAGAATGTCAGAAGATGCAGCTCTAAGCTTTTGAATGTTTTATTCTTAGAGCAGCAATCACAACAGAACCTTTCAGCCCCAGATTACTATAAAGAAAAAATACAGATCTCTTAATTAACAGAAACATACACATAGCAGAAGAGAAACATTTCAGAAAAATTACATGGCTTTGAATGCTCCATTGCCAACAAATATTACCTGTAGGGACTTTGACGAGTGGTTTGTAGCCGTATTTCTGGAATAGCTCTCTTATTTTTGCGAGATCCGCTGCATTTCTTTGCATCAGTATCTCACTTGCCTTCATAAAGTCATTAATTTCTTGCCTTTCAGAGGAACTCTTGCCAAGAGCACCATTAGCATCTTCCTTTGGGTGAAGGAGGGGAAGGAGAAACAAAGCAGTGGGTTTTCAAATCAGCACCTGGTGTCTGTTTCTACATTTAGTGTTCGGGGAATAACTAGTGAACTTCAATTCCTACAAGGACAAGCAGCAAATGTAGACCTTCTCTATACCTGAAAACTTGGTTACAAATACTGGGAACACATAGAGCAGAAGTGCACAGAAACTTACAAATATTATGAGGACAGTTCACAGCGTGATAACTGCTTCCTGCTGACCTCTCAGACAAAACCATGTGCTTTTACTCCATTTAAAAAAGAAGAGGGCACTTACATAACAATTAGTTTGGACTTTTAAATACAAAGAATGTATGTGAGAGCAGCTGTTGAAATTCCAGTTTACAGCTTGGTTTACTCCTCACTTACTTGCACACGTGCCCTTTTCTATAGACTATTTTGTCTACTTCTGATAAAGAAACGAAGAAAGTTTTTCACAAGTTTAACAGAAACGCAGGATCCCCTGCAAGGACATTCTTTATGCTGAGTGCTTCTCACTGAACAAAGCTGGGCATACCTCTCCTGAATTCAGCTCCCCCACCCCTATGCCCTGGTGTAACCACAACTTCCCCATGACCTGCATCCCTGCTGGCCTGAGTGACAACACTCATGGCAAGCTCATCAGCACAGGCATCCCACAGTTTTGGGTGCTGCCTTTAGCCATAAGGAGGACTTAGAGGTAAGTAAATAGAAAGGTCAGAACTGCTGAATAACAAGGCTGTGTTGTGGCCTAAGGATCAAAGCACAGCCATCAGTTTATGGACACGGTCTCTGCCCCAGTTTTTCAAGAAGTTAAGGCATTACCTTCAGAGCCCTGATTTCGCAGTGTAGGTCGTGCAAAACTCTCATTGGAGATTCCTCTTCATAGTCTTTGATACGCATATTCACATGAAAGTGTTTTGAAATTAAAAGAAAGTGGGGAATTAGTATTTAGCACGCAGGTACAATGTAATGTAATGTAATCTCCACTAGCAGATGTTGGTACTGTTCACTCATAAACACAGTAGTCAAGAACTGACCTTTGTTCTTTCACTGGATATCAAGGTTAATGCCAATAAATAATGTAAAAGAGGAGCCTTGCAGCACAATCCATAGCATGGCAATACATTTAACTAGAGCCTTCACTCTATGTGCAGAGAGAGAAAAAGCCCTGAACGTGTGTTTCCCTGTACTGATCCACAACAAGGTTAAAAACAAGAATGTGATTCAGTACCAAAAAGGAGCTTACGGACAGGAGAGAGACTGACTTTTTTTACACGGTCAGGCAGTGACAGAACAAGGGGGAATGGCTTTAGGATTTCGGTTAGATATTAGGAGGAAATTCTTTCCTCAGAGGGCGGCGAGGCACAGCTGCACAGAGAGCTGCGGGTGCCCCATCCCTGAGGTGCTGGGGGCCGGGCCGGATGGGCCCCGCGCAGCCCCACAGGGGCAGCCCTGCCCAGAGCAGGGGGATGAGGCCGGCTGGGTCCTAAGATCTCTTACAGCGCAGACCACTCTGCGATCCGATGATTTACTTGCAGACGTTACGCGGTAAAAACTCACTGCACGCGCACGGAGGCGCTCAGAGAGGCAGCGCGGAGGTGAGCTCACGTCAGCCCCCGCCACAGCTCTCCAGCACAACGCAGCCGTTCCGGCAGCAGCTCGCGGCGCAGCGCCGGGCGGGACCCCGAGGCGGCGCCGTCAGCGCGGGCCGCCCCGCAGCGCCCAGCTCGCAGCGCCGGACCCGCGCGGCCCCGTAGCTCGGGGCGCCTCCGCCGTAGGGGCGCGCGGGAGGCGGAGCCCGCACTTACCCGCGTCCTCCCCGCGCAGCGCCCGCTCCAGCTGCTTCGCCTCCTTCTCTAGCGTGAGGGCCAGGGAGCGCAGTTTGCCGAAGAAGCCCCGCGACGCGTCCATCGCCCGCGGGGCGGAGGGACGCGGGTCCGCGAGGGCCGCACGGAAACGGTCGCGACGAGAGGCGCTCCGCGCGACCCCGGAGCCCGCCGCCGCTTTCGAAACGGCGCCTACGCGCGCCCCGTTGGCTCCGCGAGCTCTCGCGAGAAGTGCCGCGGGCAACTCTCGCGAGAAGCGCCGCCGCCATTTTGCTGCCCGCCGCGGGACTGGGAGCGGGAGCGAGGTGTCCGGTACGGCGGCCTCCGAGGCCTCCTCGCCCCAATTCTTGTTAGAGCCGACGCCCGCCTGGAACCGGTGGGTGCCGGAGACCCTCGGGCGGTGGTGCGGCGGGGCAGCCCGTCCGCACGGCGCCCGGAGCCGCGGGTGGGGCCGGGGTCGTTGAGGCAGCTCCGTCCCGGCACGGCGCTGGCCGTGCTCGCGGCTGTGCGCGGCGGGTGGCTGCCGCCGTGCGGCTCTGAGCTGGGAACTTTCTAACAGCGAGCCAGAAGGCACCGGAATGAGTACAGGCGAATTGTTCTCGCTTTTTTTTCCCCCTAAATAACGTGTCTTTTTGTGTGTGTGTGTGTGTGTGCGCGTTTCTCTTTTAAGGCACGATGCTTTTAACAATGGCCCTACTCCGGAAGAGGATCCCTGGAAAGCAGTGGATTGGAAAATACAGGCGGCCGAGAACAGTTACCATTGCCATGAAGCAGGCCATGATCCGAAGGCTGGAAATTGAAGCAGAGAACGAATACTGGCTGAGCCGGCCGTACCTGACACGGGAGGAGGAGTACAATCACAACAGGGATGTGAGAGTGGCCAGATGGGAGGCTTTGAAAGCCATGAAGTCATCCAAGTTCCCTGAGCATAGGTATATGAGCGACCACTTGAACCACTTAAACATCTCAAAGAAGTGGACCTCTTGAGCAGCGGTGCAGTTGTACTGGTGCTGCTGGGAGATGCCGTATTGTGCCCGTTGTGGCAGCTCTGTAATTCAGTGTAACAAAGGCAGGTGAGAAATGACACTGCTGCGGTGTACAAAATCTTACATTAAAGTAATCCTACAGAACAGCGTTTGGTTTTTTTGCCATATTAGAAGACAGTCCTTCCAGTCGCTTAACGGTTTTGCATAAGACAGTGTGAGTTACAGCTGCGGTGATGACTTGAACTAGATTTGTAGCTTCACGTTTTTGGAAAGCTGGAACACAGTGGCTGTATTGGAAAAGGATTATCTGTGTGGACCAGATGGCTTTTACTTGTCTCTTTGCTATGTGAAGGGCTACTTCTGTATTCACATATTCATACTTGAAATACAGCAGAAGCCACTTGATGTACTATTCACTTCATCAGGCACGTGAGGATCAAGAAGAATAAAGCTATGTCTGTAAGACACTGCAATTAATATAAAATGTTCAACTTTCTGGGAACAGTATCAATATCTTTATCATAATGGGAACGTCCATTTCTGTGTTACTGCCTGCACTTACACAGAGCTTAGTTCTGACTGAGAAGGACTTCTACTGATTCTTGTTTGAATGGCAGCTTGATGTCTAAGCAATGCTTAGTTTGTGGCTGATGATGTTTCTCCAGGACAGTAAGTTTTTTATTTTTCCTTTTGAGACCAAGTGAGCTGGAACCATGCCAGCAATGAGTACAATCTTGGGTCAGTGCAGGTCAGGTGTGAGAACTCTTTTCACCACCAGATGGAATGTTTCCCAGGTATGCAGCAATTCTTGCTGTTCTAATTCACGCATGCTACTGCTAAGCAATTATCAGATTATTTCACATACTTTTATTAAGTAAGTCAGTATTGCATTCACCGACAGAAGTTGTGTGTCAAATACATTGATATTTTATCACTTTTGAAAAGAGGCCTGGAATAGTAGAACTTGTTGTTTAAACATGAACTCTATTCCATGAAGTATGATCAGGTCTGAACACTGATGTACAAAATCTTGAGTGCACTTATAAATGATCTTATAATGTTGAATGCTTATAAATGACTTGAGATAACATGGAAAAGTATACATATGAGCAAACTGCACAGTGTAATTCAAACATGAAGGAACTCTTACACAAAGTATGTGAGTTTGTATTTAATTCATTTATAAAAGCTCATTTTAAAAAATCACTTCAAGTATTAAACTGTAAATGGCAACATGTATTCTCTGCATAGGATGAGTCCTATCTGCAGCGTACAAAAACAAAAACAGTAACTGTGTCATTACACATCTTTCACATTTAATGCCAAAATTAAACACAGTTCAGTATAAGTTTAGGCAGCAAATTAAAAATAATGGTGTAAATGGAACAATGGGAAATTATCATTAGTGTGAATACTTATGACCCTTTCTAGCAAATACAGAATTGAAAAGAACCCAGGCATGCTTAATTCTGTTAAGGGTAAAAGGGAGTGGGAGAACGTAGAGGGAGCCTGAACACTTCAACAGCAGGACTAATGCTGCTTTCTGTGATGTTTTTGTGAGTGCAAATATTTGCTGTTAAGATTTAAGACTCACACAGTAAAGCTGAAAGGAACAGGTAAAAAGATGAGAAATTAGAGAGGTATGTGCTGAGCATTTAAGTTGTCAGCTAAGTAATGTAAACAGAAGAACATCTGCATGTCACCATTAGTGCTCAGGTGCCAACAGAAGTGGATAGTTCACCCCCAACACGTGCTTCCCTCTACACATGTGCTCTGTGCTTCTTGTGGCTGGGGGCAGGGAAGCCTTCAAAACCAATTAAAACGATTCTGTAAACCTCATGGAAACAAGATTCAAGTAGTGGCTGCAAACAAACCAACCCAGCAAACAGTGAAAGACCAGTTTTAATCAGAATCAGCACTAAGTACAACTTTGTTTCATTCAATTTCATGAGTTATGTAATTAAGAAAAATACAAACAAAAAGCTGTCTATATGTACAAAATAAATTGATAGAAATGAAGATAGTGTATGTGCTCAGTATTGTAACAAGTAACCTTATATGCAGCTGCTCTCTTTGGTGCCATTTAGAGATAGAAGATCCTCTTACATTAGATACCAGCTACTTATTTTTTTTTAAGTAATATGAAAAATGCGATCTTGATCTACACTCAGTGTTAGAATAGCTATTCGGAGACTCTTCATACCTGAATCCTTCAATTCTGTTTTGTTTTAGCTACAGAACATAAACTGTGAAGCTCAAAATGTGTGTGGTTTTTTTTTGTTTTTTGTTTTTTGTTTTTTAATTCTAAATGAATTTCTTCAATCAGTGCTCCAGATCTAGGCAGATCTTTCTCATTTTTGTGGAGAGTTGATGCATCTCTTGGTACGTGTGCCACAGACACTGATCCTGCTAGTTCCTTTTCCTCCTCTTGGGGCTCTGGTGAGCTACAACTGGTCAAACTTCAAACTACAACGAATTAAGAACTTTGAGTGAATAGCACTGAACTTAATGAAAACTTCCCAAACCCCAAAAGATTATTTACAAGAAAGAAAAGCCATGCAAGATCAAATGAGAGAATTAACAGTACCTGAGAAACAGTGACATTTAACACTCTGGATGCCCAGTTTCTAGATGGTATGCCAAAAGCAGCTTGGTACCCGTACATTCCAGGTTCAAAGCATAGGTTTAACAAAGATGTTACTGTGATTTCTCTACTCCAATGAGTAAAAGTGCCAGAGCTTCCTTGGATATAAACCCCTGAATATTTGAAATGGAAGTTTTCAATCAAGAGGTTAGGATGCATCCAACTTGTCAGTTATTAGAGAAACCTAACACAATCCTGCCTTCTGCCAATAATACACGTTTGGTAAGAACTGCACTTATGTGCACCTTCACAGTCTGTAAATAAACCAATATTCAGAAAAAAAATATTTTTTGAGGTTTTAAAAATAGTTTAAAGTTTTCCTTTCTATTTATGCATCTGCCGTCTTTACAGGGAGAGCTTTATCAACTCATGACATTTCTAAATCTTCAAAGAGAAAACACTGTAACCTCATCCTGCGTCACACTTCTGTCCTCACATTGGGAGTTTAAGCCATTTTGTGTTTGTGACCATTGTGTGGATTTTTATAAAAGAAAATAAAGCTTTAGGAAATACCAAAGCATAGCTTCTGATTGCAGCCAGTGTCAACTATGCTACAGTCACTACAATGCTACTCATGGCTAGCAGTTATTTTGAGGGATTTAAAAGCTTAAGCACTGTTATTTTTAGTGACAAACGTAAGTATTTTCAAGACTTGCTGACACACAGCAGCTTAAAGCACAGAAACAGCATGTACCTCATGACCCGGCACTCTGTCTGTCTTCCCTTCTTGCCTCCTGACCAGGCAGGTCAGCTCCTCTCACTGGCAGCGTGCAGCGACTCAGTGCATGGATGTGGGCTGAAAGGACATCCTAGCGTGCTCCTACAGAGCCCAGCTAGCAGTAGTCTGCTTACAGCTTAACAGTCTAACAGCTTTTTGTCCTCACCAAGGTTGCATTTAGGCAAAAAGAGAGAGCAAGCCAGAGAGTATCCCACTCTGCTTTGATACAGCACAGGATGCCCTTGCTTATGGCTATGGAGCTGTCAGATCAGAACTCTCAAGACAACCAAAGCACACGGCACCTTGCTAGAAAACACGCACGGATTCAGCCCAGTCTGTTTACTTGCATTTTTTTTTTCTGTAGATTAACTATCCTGACTTAAGCAAATGTTACACTGATGTTAGCTTATAGTACACACCATTCACGTAGGTGTAAATTGAACACCTGGAAGAGCTGAGGAGAAAGAGGACGGAGGCTGTTCCTCTGAGATTTATGCTATTAGAGAGCAATATTCCTTCTACTTCTGCTAGATGACTGTAGATGTGTTTGTTACCTCTGCTGTGATACAATGATCCAGTAAAAGAAAGATGATATCCAGGGTCCTCCATTACAATTCTACTGGCGTTCTGGGCTGCACATTTAGGTACTTAGAATGAGAAAACTGAGCTCAGGCTTGCGTCTCCCTCCTCTTCCCCAAGAAATTTTGCTGATGCATTCTCTCCCTATAAGTTCAACATGTCAGTATTCCTGAAAACTTATATTTAGATGAGTGCTTTTCACTTGACATTTGAGAAGAAAAAGTGAAACCTTTCATATTAATGCACAGCACATGTTTTTTCTTTGAAAACTGGCAAATGCAATATTTATCATACAAAGCTGGAAGAACATTTTGCAATTTCTACAAAACATGCAGGTTTGTGCCTTCAGTTCTGTCTCAGCAGTATCTGACAATGACCATAATATGCTCATAGGTCACTGAAGTGCTTCTGTTCTAGAAGACTGGAAAAAATACTTTTTCCTAAATATCAAAGACAAAGAAAATATTTGTTTTAAACCTTAGAATATACTTGATACCCAAGTAACTCCAATATGTCAATGATGGGGAAAAGTAGTGATCAATCTGGCAAAGAAACCAAATGAGTTCCTTTTGTTCAGATCATCAACATAGCTACCACCTTCAGTTTCTATCAAACAGGCGTATGACTATCAGTAATCAGCATCAGCTGAACATCAGAAAAGCTTCAGACCACAGAATGGTATTTTTCACTTTTGTCATGTGCAAAATGCCAGGAACATCAAAAGACGAATTAACAGCGTTCTCTATAGTGCAGTAGGAGGAAAAGAAAAACCATATTTGCTGTAGGTCTTGAGCTTAGTTGGACTTTATTCCTCAACACAGGAAACATGTTTTGCCTTTTGTGAACATGGTACATCACTGAGCAAAGCACTCATCTTTAGCAGTTCAGCATCACTTAAAATCGACTTGAAAGTGGCAGACGAAGCAGACAGCATACAGAGTTTTGGTGTGTTAACACGAGTGCATGATCCAACACTAACTTTCTCATAAGTACTTGAAATTTGTTTAAATGGTACTTCAGAACCAATAAAAACTTGTGTTTTTATTAAAAAGATAAAACAAAAGTATAAAACAGTATTTATAAACCATCAAGAGTCCCATATAAAAAGCAGTACGCTTCCAGTTCCATTTTCTAACAACATGTGACTGCACTAGGATTTTTCTCAGGGGTACGTTGCCATTTTGTTACTGCCTCATACAGAACACTGCAAACATTAACAGAAAATGTAACAGTTTGTTAATTCCTTTTTCAATTGGATTTTCTTACGTTGATAGGAAATTGTTGAAAAACAATAAACCATGTTTTTAATCAACTAAAAGAGTTCACTTCTTTGAGCTATGTTCTTGATATAGTTAAATGGTCAAGTTAGGAGGATGAGGGGGTTCAATCTGATAGCAAAAAAAATAATGCCAAGTAAAAGGCTTTTACTTTGTTGGCATTGTTTTGTTCCATAGCACAGTCAGCAGAAGGAATCCTCAGTCCTGAAAGACTTACATAGCTATGACCATGAACATGTCATCCAGCACCTTCCTTTCCCACCAGCTGGTATATGAGCTGTGAACAGCTGTACTTCAGACTCATCAGTCAAGCTCTCCTCCTCTCCATCCTTTTTTCTTCTTTCTGTATCCTTGAGGCTTGCTACGGAAGTGACTTCTGCAGTGCCTAAGGTATGAAGTTTGCCCGTGGGGAGGTAGCAGTCCCTGCCACTGCAGCATAACAGAAATGCATAGTTCCCACTCTGGACCTTGTGCATCCAAGCAGGGCACTTCAGGATTTGGCCCTTTGGTAGCAGTATATAATTCAGTGCTGCATAAATGCACATGAAGAATCTTAAGGCATCTGTCTGAACTTCCCTGCTCTGCAAATAGTGCTTACAAGAATCCATTGGACTGTGCAGAAACTTCAATTTCTTGTCTCCTCATAAAATGCTCATGTTCCATTTTTTACTGATCAAATCTTCCAAACAAAATTAAGTAACATTCAAGCACAAAATGTGTTGCAGAAACCTAATGAAACAAAAAAGGCAATTAGTGCAATTGCACCATTAGCTTTGAAAAAACAGGATCATACCGCATTATACAAATGCAGCCAGGTAACGTGAATAATTTACTGACTCTTGACACAGGACTGCAGTTAAGGTAACTTTAATTCACAATTAGCTTTCTGGGAGGTGTTTTTTTTTTCTTCTCCTTTTAAACCTCCTATGTGTAATAAGATTATCTCCACTAAGAACATCAGATCCAATTGCCACTGATCTGTAGCTAACGTCACTTGGATGTTTGGATGACAAGAATTTTTAATGAAATCCAACAGATGTGGGGACATAAACAGTATTCACATAGATGAGGCTGGGGGAATGCTGGCTGGGTGATTAGCATTTCTTTCTGAAGAATCGTCTGGGAACTCTACTTAAGTCTGCCACAAATACAACTATCAGTTTGTTGCAGGGCATAGCAAAGTACATGAAAACATTTTGGATCTCACAACTATTGCACTGCTGCATACAATTGCACAGGAACTAAAATTAACCAGGCAGGACTAGAGAAACCAATCAAATCCAACTGAACTCAGAACAGCTGGAACATCGCTTTTGTAAGCACTCTTCAAGCACTAGAAGGCCACAATGAAGTCTCCCCAGAGCCTTCTCTTCTCCATGCTGAAGAAGCCTCACTCCCTCAACTGCTCTTCATAGGAAAGGAGCTCCAGCCCTCTGATTATTTTCATGCTTCTCCTCTGGACCCACTCCAACAGCATCTTTCCTGTATGAGGGGCCTCAGGCTTGGACACAGTACTTCAGATGGGGCTCACAAAGACAGAGTAGAGGGGGACAATCCCTGCCCTCTCCCTGCTGGCCACTCCTCTTTTGATGCAGTCATTGGTGGCCTTCCAGTGTGCAAGAACATACTGCTAGCTCTAAATAGTCTAAGTCAGTCAGTTGTGCTCCCTCTCTAAGTCAGCAGAAAGAAAGGTTAAGCAGATTCTGTAATACTCTGGTCAAAGACTATTGGCATACACTGATCTCAGAAGTTAACTATTCCATTCTACGAATTAAAGAAAAGACTGAGTAACCTGTTTAGATCAGATCAGATTTTATAGAGCTAGAGACTGAATATATGTCACCAAGGCATCCATTTGTACATTTTATGTAGAAGTGTTAAGAAAAGTAGATTAACTACTCTAATTCATTTTGATTAATCCCCTGAAGAGACCTTTTAGATATGCTTTTTTTTTTTACTTATTAGATTTTTTTTTTTAGTTAAAAAAAACAATAAGATGAACCTGAAACTAAAATTAACGAGCTCAAAAAGCTTGAAAATTGTTTTATCCCCAAAGAAAATGGCACTTCCTTGCAAGGTCCTTCTGTATCCCAGCTCTTGCTGCACTTCTATGTCAGGGATCACAAAAAAACATTTTCTTGTGAGTGACTTCTCGATCTGTTTAACGAAAGAGGTGTAGGGAGGAATGACTCAGCCCCCTGGTTGTTATTTTTAAGGTTGTTATTTGTCCAAATAAAATTTCTTCCTCTTCTAGAGAGAAAAAAATTAATAGGGGTTTACAAACTCACTGTGGTATGAAGTCAACATCAGAGAGATCTAATTCAGTCACTGGAAACACACCAAGGGAAGCAGTAGCACTCACTGTATTTCCTAAGTGCAAAGAGTGCAGAGTGCACTGAAGCACTTAAGAAGATCATTGTCAATGCAAGTGAAACAATGATGTGAAACAGTCATGCAGTTTGCAACAGTATGCAGATACCTATATTTTACCTACTGAACTTGTGCACAGCTTCTTAAAGTCCAAGAGCAGAGGATGACAAATAAATATGCAATTAATAGAACTGTTAAAGAACATTTCCTTGAGAGAGTATCAAAACATTTCATCTTGAGATTGCTTGTTTAGCAGAGCAGATTCTTTTCCCTGGTCAGGTAACAAATCCAGCGTTGTGCACTTCAGTCTAAATTGCAGCATTAGGTTCACTCATCTGAGATCCAGTCACGTTTCCTGCACTACAGCATTACTCTCATTCTTGTCTCCTGGAGAACTATTTTGAGTTTCATTTAGACCTATTGCTCATCCAACATCAGAGGATTTCTCTGCATTCCAAGAATAGTGACTCTTGACCTCGAGATTTTAATTTATTTGAATGTATAGAGAAAGAGCCATCAATTATGTTAGTCTTACTTACCTGTTTCTCACTGAGATGGTTGGTTAGTAATAAGCTGAGATCAGCTTTCCAATGAAACTATAATATGCTTTTTTGTACCTAAAACGTGAGAGAATTTCAATTATGTGTTTTTGCAGATTTGCATACCAAATACCAAAGATTCCAAACCAGAAACTATGTTTATTGTGCTATGCCTATTTTAGAGAAATATTTGCCTCCCACTAATCAAAAAAAAAAAAAAAAAGAATCCAAAATATCTTAGAAGAGGATGCGAGAAAGCCAGATATATTTTCCCATTTCCTTATCTCACCATTAAAACTCAGTTTGGAGAAGAACATAAGACACGAGTTAGCCTTAACCTATAAACATCTGACTTTACAGTGCAAGTTTTCCTCTACTTGACTCCAAACAGTTCCTAAGGACCTTTCAGGCTTAAATAAACAAAACAACAAAAAAAAAGAAACCCCACCCGACATAAACAAAATGATAAGATCATCAGAAATGTCATGGTGCAGTCTACCTGATTTAACATTTTCATCTTCAGGGCCACTTTCTACCCACTGACTGTCACTGGCTAGCAATCGATTTTTTGATTCACTGAGTGGTCGAGTAGGAAAGGGCTGATTGGCTCCAGAGCTGAAAAGTAAGCAAAGTTAACAGGAACTCCATAAAAGCAAAACCTGCTTATTTCAGGCATTTTTAGAGTAGTGAAGCTCATCAAAACAAACTAAAAAGCTATGCTGCAAACTAAAAACGATACCCTGATTTACAATTCTCCCACAGGCTTATCATTACTCTAAACCCTTACCTGGCATAGGCCACTGACAGTTCCAATGGATAAAAAGCACAGACAAATAGATTACAAATGGTACAGTGACAGCAATAGTACTGCCACACAATTACAAAGAAAACACAAACCCTTACTGTCTGGAAGAACAACCTAATGCCATTTTGTCCCATCAACAAAAATTAGGTTGTGCTGATGAACATCTTCCAAATGCAAAAGGATAACACTGCCGCTCATGCAAGGGTCCTGCTTTCCTGTAAGTTCCACAGGTTAGGTTGTACTGGCAGGAACTTCTTAGCTTCTCAGTCTTGCCTTTGCAAGCACCTGGTAACTCAGGTGACTGCTGTTGACAAGAACTTTCAGCCACAGGTTTACCAAACTACCCAGAAGCCTTTCAAAGTTATGTCAATGTCACTGAAGATACAAACCATGCAAATTAAGAGACATAAGAAGTATTGACCTAAAAGAACTCCTCTGCTCTAAATCACCAACAAACAGAGTTATCTACCTCTTCTGCACTGTATGTCTCACTATCCCTTGCTTAGGCATGCTGGAGAAACGCAAGTAACATCACCCTACTCTCCCCTCATTTGAAAAACTATATTAATTTTTTTTTTTAACCGTTCCATTACTCAGTCTTCCTTAGCATTTTCATTTCTTGTCGTTAAAAAAAGAGCTCAAACTGTTTTTTACTTTCTGTATTGTTCTGTTTCCTTAGAGTCACATCCTCTGCCAAAACCAAGAAACAACCCTTCTGCATCAAGCAACACCACATTTATTAGTCTTGATTCATCCTAGCCTTCTCTGGAGACTTACAAACTCACTCTGAACTTCATAACAACTTTGAACTGTTGAAACAAAAAATAATTTTGAAACTTTTTTTTTTTTTAAACAGAAGAGTATGAAACAGTAAGTAAATCAACAACTTAAGTGTTATAGTTACCTTTTGGCAGGTTCATTTTGGCTTGAGACAGTTAGCTGCTCTGGATCCATAATCACCAAGCGAGTTGGAAAATTACACCCATCGCCCAAACTAAATCAGAAACAGACTCAAATCACTGTTTGTAGTTGATGGAAATTAAGTGAACACGTGCATAAGGGCTGGAATCAATTGCTGAGTGCAGTGTTGAACTCCAGACTTGGGCAAGACAGTCCTACCATTAAACTCTAAGATCAGCTAATTAAATTCTGGAGCTCTAATGATTCCCATCCTATCATTCAGCGTGGGCTGTTGAGCAATGAAGAAGTCTATGTATTTCAGAAACAACAGTGTGTGCAGGTAACAATACTATGGTATTTATAGTCCCAGAAACTGTAGCACAAATAATATTCTGGTGCTATACATTTTTTCCTTCCTCCCATCATTGTGAGACTAATTAAGCCTTCTTTTAAAGCAAGTTTAGTCAAGATGAAACACGCTAGGGAAAACAGTCTGACCCAACTACAGTATAGCTTTCACCTGCTTTTAAATCACATAAAGAGTTATGTTCATTAGGCAAATGGCTGAGGGAACCTAAGATCTTGTTATTACCTGTTTGCTACCAGTCCTCAGTTCAGCAAAAAACTTCACCAGCATTTAGCAGATACATGAGCCTCCAAAAGCAATGGTGAAACATGGTACCTATTTTGTTTTGCTGATATTCTGGCGTGATGGAGTGGGCTTCTCTGACACTTGTCTGCAACTCCCTAACACCAGTCCAACTGAAATTTTAAAACTACTATTTTCCATCATATAACTTTTTTTTTGTTGCACTGCTGCCCAATTATACGCACTTTCCCAGAAGGCTTTTAATAACGGAACTGTGATGTATAATAAGAGAAAGAGCTGTCATTTGTTGAGAATAAGAGAAGGTTTTAAACATCTGATGTTTCAACACAGCTGAAGTTCAAGCAGTGTTTGGGTTTTCTCTGTGTTGCTGATTTCTGCTCTATAATCAGATACAAAGTACCAACAAAACATGCACCATCTCATAAATGCAATTCTCAAAGCTTGCCAAACTCCCACCCTTGACAATGAGACTCTTATCTTTGAATTAAAAGCCTATGCAGTTTGCTTCAGAATTTTTCCTATGCCAGCTGTGCAAGATGCACAACTGGCTTTTCAACTGTGCTTCACTACATGGGAAAAGTCGAAGCAAAGTGAAAATTATGGAATCAATTCATTTCCCTATTAATGTCCATTCTGACTGAATACCTGGTAAAAATAGGGAGCAGCCAATACTTCTTTTCATCTCCAAAAACCTCCCTCAGGTTTTTGCTGCATCCAAGAGAAAAGCCATTTTTGTCAGGGCCATTTCGAAATGTGGGTGCGCGGAATGTTTCTGTAAGAGAAAAACCTGTTACTTACTTTAAGGCAGTGAGCAGGAGGGGAGGAATGAACAGAATCAAACTTCTGTATTGTGAAAACAGGCTCAGGCAAGCTATCTAAAGGTATAAGATTTTGACTTCAGTTGCAGAAATACTCACCTGCAAAAAAAAAAAAAAAAAAAGAAAAAGCCACTTAAAAATGCAGTAGCAGGAACTTCAGATACATTCCCACAAGTAACCTGCTTATGCTGATCACTGACATTTAGAAAATACTGGCATCTCTTGCAGTTTTATTACTTTGGAAAAGTGCATCAGTGTTTCCATTTTTACTGCAGTGCTTTTAAATGTCACCTCCTAATACCAAGGTTCACTTATTTTACAGGGTTCAAGAATATTCTTTCTGATTTGTAACTAAATATATTATGTTCATACACAGTAGTCTTCCTTTGGGCCAGATTCATCCAGCTACTCAAAGTGCAGTAACAATAAAATAGCTGCTAAGTAGCAATTCTGTTCCATTACTTTACACTTTGTAATAATGCAACAGAAACTCAGTGCCTCATCGATCTTAACATAAAACAAAAAAATTAACACTCATCACGAATCTCTACACTTGGCTCCAGCAGAGGACCCACTACACTTGCATCATTTTCCCACATCCTGCAAGACAGTATGTTTCACTCTTAGCTGTTTTCACCAAAGATGCTTCTTACTGCACAGAATTTTAACAGTCCCGTAAGATGTGAAAGCATATCCTTTCACTCCTAGCAATGCATTTTTCTAGATGAGGAACAGTTCCATATTCCAACAACTGACCTATTGTTGATCTGTTTTTGCCAACTAGCCAGCAGTGGTAACTGAAGAGTGACAGTATGCTGATGAAGAACATGGCTGCCACAAAGAAAAGGAAGAGTACATGGAATTTTGCATGGGTATCTGGCAATTCATTCTGAGGAGAAAGAGAGAAAGAAATTAACATGTTAATATTTTTTTAGCAGCTAATGTAGTATTATCACTAAACATTTTCTGCCACCCCCATTCTGCTGCAGGTCTCTCACCCCACTTTTCACGTAGAAAAGAAGCATAAGCAGGGCCTTCCTTTCATGTCATGTTAAACTGATGTACAGTATCACTGAAGACTGCTGGGTATGCTTTCCATCTGAGTTTAGCAACGTGAGTACACCTTCTGTGAGATAACACTGTGTATAATCAGGCTAGTCTGTAAATGTGCAGCGGGGGCAAAGGAAAGAGTCCTATATAAAAAATGTTGTCTGTGCAACCACAGCCAAAGAAACACAGGAAGAACGTGCCCAAACCACTTTTTTTCAAGGGAAGAAGAAAGAACAAAAAGTTTGAAACTCTTTCCTGGCAGCTTTTGAGCTGGGTAAGGAATGTGAAAGGGAAGCAGCTTAATCATATCATGTTTCCACGACTGAACAGCTCCCAGACAAAACCAGTTTGCTGGGACTGATCTTCAATTTTGGATGATCTCTCAGGCTGGGGTAACAAACAGCAGAACAAATATGCCATATCTGACAAGGCAGAAGTTATTCACCAGAGTGAAAACAAATTGGGTACAATCACTGCCTAAAAATTAACCTCCCACCCACATGATAGTTGATTCCACCCCCAACCCCAGCCATTTTTAGGGCTGCACTTTCAAGAGGCCAGTGGGATTTGTAATAGTACTATTCCAGTTCCACATCCTCAAAATCACAGTTCTTTTAAGCAGCTGACCTTTAGCAGCGCTATGAAAGCATAGAAGCTATTTTTATTCAGCATTTAGTTAGCATCATTGCCATTACTTTTTCCATTAGCTCATTCAGTACACACGCTTACCTGAGGTTTTTTTTTTTTTTTTTTTTTTTTTTTTTTTAGATTATCTAGAAGACATTTCAATTAAGAAGTGCAGACAGGTGTATCTACATGCACATACTGCACCTATGTTCTTAGGCAATACACACTACACGTTTCCTCCACTGCAGCGATGGTGTAAACAGCTGCTATGAATGGATCAGAGAAATTATACTAGGAACAATTTTTAAATAATTACATACTGAATTTTACCTTTGGACAATTCTCTGCAGCTTTCCTGCGGCAAAGCTTTGTGCAAACAAAGACAATTTATTAAACACTAACATTATGTTAAGACCAAGTGTTTGAAAACAGCACAAGCTTTGTTAAGAAATGGTTGGTGTGCACACGTGCTCTTGGACGTGCCAAGTTCCAACGCCCATCTGCAGCAGTAGCCCCCGTTCTCCAAGAGAATGGAGGACAGAGTACATAAGAGTGCATTGCTGACTGTCAAGGCATGAGACTTTCTTCTGAAGTATCGCTATTCAGATTGTGGCTGGATCACTTTCAAGTGGTTTCCTCAGCCTGAGCAGCATGACTGCACTGGGTGCATTCCTTGCTGGTTCCCACCACAAGTATGGTTTACACCAACATGGTGCATGATGAAACCAGCTCTGAAAAGCTCAGAATACTCCAGAAGTATAAAGCAATGGTTTACAAATATAGAAAACCAGTCTGACTTCAGAACATATTTATTACCATTAGATATATTTTCAGTCAAAACCATAAAAAATGAATTACCATTCCTCACACAAGTTTGTTTTGTTTTTTAAAGCAACAAAAACAACAAAAATCCCAAACTTCATACAAGAGTAACCACCTTAGCTAAGGTGTGAGTGCTTCACAAATCAGTCACATGTGAGGTGTATTAAGTTACATCACACTACAAAAAGCTTGGGTTCTCTCTATGCTTTCCCACCGGAGTCTGGCATTTATTAGCATTGTTTTCAGAAATGCCAGCTACTGAGATATAACGCTACAGGAAGCAAAGCAAAGCTAGAGGAAGCAAAGGATAGCAGAGTCCAGCTATCTGAACTGTCATGCGGGTTCAATTTCCTTATCTACTGCCTTAATTTATCTACTGGATGTTGTTTTGCCCAGGTAATTGGCGCAGCAGTCAACTCTCCCCCACTGCTACAGAGACACAAAGTGTTTTGATTCCCTGCAACGAAGGCTAGTAAAATACATATCCCAACTGCTGCTAATCCCTAAGCTTTGTGTTAAAGCTATGATGATTCTCCCTACCTCAGAACACATGGTAGCTTTCCTAGGAAACATAATTTTCAGATTAATTTTCCTGACTTCTTGGTGGCATGCATACTCCCAAGCAGTCACGCTTGCCAATACTTCAACATCACGATTTGCAATTTACACAAAAACAAAAAAGGAATCAGAGTTTCCACATTCTGGCTTTTCACTTTACAACTGTAAAGGGAAAGACCATATGAAACTAGGACCTTAAATTAATAAGCATTACAAAGTCCCACTATATGACTCATGTGGAATTGCTTATTTAAATGACACAGCTCTCTATGAACAACTCCCAGTCAGTTGATTTTGTTCAGAAGAGCAGCGACAGCTTAGTTTTTGTGTTTGGACCACAAAACATAAGTTTATTTCAGTTGGATCTCCTTCAACCAGTAGGCCTGCAACTGGGAGAAAAAGCTTTTGTTTTATTATGCAATATGAACATGCATGATCTCCACAGAGCATTCACCTTTTCTGACTACACAGTTTCAGCTACTGGCTCCAAGTTCTTGAGCTGCAAAACTCAAACATCTCAAAAAAAAAAAAACCCTAATTCCTTCCTGGAGAGAAGGGTGCACTCTGTGAATGTGTATCACAGACTCAGCCACAGCTGTGTTCTAGCAGCAATCACACGCCACAGCATGTGAAAAGAATGAAACTTCCACCACAATTTATTTAAAAAACATGCTTAGCAGAGCACAGAAGTAGAGCCTTGTAGGTGGGAAAACTGCAACACTTACAAAGAGAAGTGATTTGTACCATGACATTTCATTTACTTCGCACATGTAATAGACCAGAGCCATTCACTATTTTGAAGAGCCCTTCACAAACTCCTTCACAGGCACTGAGACATTTGGGTATCTATCAGGTCACTTCAAAAACTAAACAAAACAAAAAACATACAAGCAAGAAAAACCAAAAATGCTGTCAAAACTCATTAACTCATCTTAAACCTAGAAAAAACTTGGAACATCTCATATATATCCGTCTGTGTATATGCAAGAGAACTCAGTTCTAACCACTTTTCTTTCTTTCTTTTTTAAATGCAGAGGTTTTTTTTGTTTTTTTTTTTTTCTTTTTAAGAAGTATGCACCATCTGTCATGGAACACATCTCATATTCTTAAATTAGCTATGCTCAGGATTGCCAAAATAATTTGGAGGGCACTGAAAGACACTGAAAACAGCTGGAAAATATACAGGTTTCAAGGTGGAAGAGAGCACAGCAAGAATGAGAGCTGATACAAACCTCAGCTGGGAAGTACTACCATGCACTGTGTAAACAAGGCGTCAAGGACTGGGCGTTCTGCCAGCCCTAGCATTCCTATCAAACACATTTTGTTAACCTGTGGCCTTATCTGCTCATCTTAAACAACTTCCTAAGTAGAAATAAAACTTTTATGAGTATAGGAAAAGGAGTTCTGAGTATAACAAAAGGAATAAAAATGTCATTCATATTCCCCTGATCTAGAAAACAAATTTTAATACCCACATAAGAGTGGAAACATTGTGGTAAACACTCAGTGCCAGCGCAATTGCTCCATCACTGCTGGAACAGTATTAATCTGTCTGGTCAGTACTTTTGCACAGAGCATGAAAGATGCTATGCAAATCTTGCATGTACAAGTGGGACACGGATTTTTTTTTCCACAAGAGGTAGGTGTGCACATCTCTCAAGCTTGCAAGTATGTGAATGTTGTGTCTTTATGCAGGTGTTATCAACAGTGCAGGACAACGCACTGCTATAATTTGTGTAGTTAGCACATACACTTTTACAATCACATTACTTCAAGTTCTGAAGTGATCAAGGCTATGCTCCAAGTGGTTCATCCTTAATCCCAGCACTGGGTATATAATGGAATTACATAGTTTCTCTGAAGACATTTTTAAGAAAGGAAGAAAAAGGATCTCTGCCTTCTGAAGGGGGACTACAACATTCCTGACAGTCAAGCTGTGAAGAAATAAAACCCTCTAAACCAACAAAATCTAGACAGCCCTGACAGTTATCTGTCTGACGCTGTTGCAAACAAAGCTGAGCATTAGCTGACTATCTAGAGCCAGTACATACCTGTAGCACCTCTGATATGGATACAGATTTAGAGAGAAGCTTCAGGACTACTGTACAGTCAGCAGCACCTACCTAAATGCTTACAATATGAGAGTCATTAAGTTCTGCAAGCCTGCAGGGTTATGATGCCACCAACTCTTTCAAGAACTCTAGCTTAATCAAGCTCTCATAAAATCATAGCAATATTAGCTTTGTGAAATGATTTAGTATGCATAAAGTGAGTCAGAGTCCTATTGTAATTGTAAGATCATGATATTACCATATTCTGTCTTGAAAGTAATAGGGAAATTAAAGCAAAAAAGTGCAAACACACAATTACATTTTCTATTGTCACATTTCAGAAGCAGCCCATTCTTGTAGGAAGTGTTTTAAGCAACTAAATAATTAAGAAAACAAATCCCTCTTAAGTTTACTTCCTCTGTTCAAGGGTCCACTTCACTATCTTGTCTGAAGCGCTTTGGAATAGGCTTGCTGCAAATGCTGCTATTCAGCGTTCATTATGGTCCTGCTGATTTCCCTTGCAGTCACGTTTGTGAAGTGAGGTGACAAAACCAATTTACCTTCTTTGCCAAAGCACCGATTGGTAAATATGGAAAAGATTGGTAAATATGGAAAAGCGCATCTACAGCAATGTTAGGAATGGCACACAAAGCACCGGGAAGCAGCCAGGCGAATGTCTGGGAGTGGCACACTTAGAGATTGAAAAATTAACTATTTACAGTCAAGCAAGACAGAACAACAGAATCGGACCATTTCATTTGAAATAGCTGTCAGTCCACAACTGCATACATTCACAATTTTCATCTCACAACTTACTGAAAGCTCAATTCCCACACAGTTCCTTGCTTTCCAGTGACAGTCTACTGTACAGAACTGAGAGACACACACTATTTTGTCAGATTAGACTCCCCAGACTTAGATGAACCCAAACAAACATGCTTTTTGCAATATTTATCTTACCTGTCTAGTGATGCTGATCTTGAATACAGATTATTCTGAATATGACAAAGCTTCACTTACTCTGAGATGGCATTCTGCTCCAGTAAAGACTTTCTTTTGCTAGAGGTAATTTTACTGTTCCTCACAGCTACACCAACAGCAACCAGATCTAAGAAACACGCTGTTGTTTATTTATAAAGATGTGATGGAAAACCTTCCACTTAGCAGTGATTTTTTTCCCCCTCATGTTAGTTAATGGAATCTGATTAAGAGAATTCTAATGCTATCTTTTTTGTCTCAAGAGGCAGGAAGGCACAGTATGAGGTTTCAGAGATGAAAGGAAACAACACCAGAATACATTCTATTCAGCCTGGAAAGCAACTGGAACAAAACTGATAGGAGGAAGATAACACTGACATGCAAGGTTGCTCTTCACACACATTCTACGAAGTCTAGTAAAATACCTGTACGTGTATCTACCATTTAACAACTAATAATACTTCCAAGGAATCCAGGTATAATTAACACTATACCTATCGTAGCACACTACCCGTATCAGATCAATAAAGCCAGCAGTATGAAGTACAGACACACCTAAGGACTCCAAAGCAGAGATAGGAGTGGGTTCCCAAGAAATTCACTGTCTTATCCAATTGCAGAGTATCCACAAACAAGTCTAAGGCACAAAATTAAAAATATTGACATGAAATATGATGTGTGTGTACATATGTAAAATTAGACACACATATGTACATATAAAACAAGTGCATGTGTGTGTATTTATACAACCAATTCTTTCTATACCTACATATCTGTAACTACCAGTCACAAAAAAAAAAAAAAAAAGCCCAACCAAAAAACCACCTAAGCTGTGCCAATTGATTTTATGGAACAGAGAAATTCTAGTGTCCTCATCAGAACTTCTTCCCCCAGTTACTCATTCTGGGCAACGTAGTAATTTAATTCATCAATATGCAGAAAGTTCTCCTGTTTCAGTCACTTTGATTGATGCTGTTAATGGTAATGAACTATGGAACAGAATAAATGGTGAGTGACAACATGCTGATGCAGACTTCAAGAATACATGCGAGATTAAACAAACAAAAAACACCTTAGAACTTACTGTCCAAAACTTTATGAAGTACTGCAAGACTGTAGCAGCAACAAACAGACAGTACAGTAAGGAATACATTAAAAACAGGAGGAAGAATTTGTAGTTAGAAAATCCCACACAATTATTCACCCTAGAAGGAGGGGAAAGAGAAAGAGGTTACTATGATATACCAAAAAGTAAATAAAATAGTAACAATTAAAAAAAAACAACAACAAAAACCAGCAACCAAAAAAGCACAATACATTCAACTGCTTTTGCAAAGTATAACATGTATGATGTCAGTGATATGTCCAAAACAGTCTTACACTACTGTTTCTGAAGCATTTTAAGCTGTCATTATGAATGAACCAACTTCATTCTTCTAGCCAAGTTACCTGAGGCCTTCTCAAATTTGGCCCTCTCCCAAGAAGTTCTAGAGGACAGGATGTGAGCCAGCAAAGCATATGATACATACAGTCTCTACAGAAAGTCTTACACACTAGGAACTAACTGCAGTGACTGCAGATCATACAAGTCTGTCCATCAGCTTCAGAGAACGTTGCTTTAATTACAAAAACTCCTTCAAGACAGCACAATCGTTTTATCTTTGTAGTGATAGTAGATAATATTTTTACTGACTACCAGTGAATACAAACTGCAGAAGAGTAATCAAACTGATTTTCACAAGGTAGTGATTATCTCCTCTTCTGTCGATAATAATACTGAACTAAACAAAGGAAATGCTACTTCTCATAGACCTTGTTAACTCCAGGATTTTCTGTGCATAAGGAAAAACTGCACAGTTTGAGCTGCGACACACATTTTAAAATACCAAAGACTCAAAAAATTCTGTAAAAATCCATTTTTACTTCAAAGTTTCATTTCTGAAGCAGCATGTATGAGTTAATTATTACTATACTGTTCTTTATTATTTTTTATAAACTTACCATGGACAATGGTGGTCCATTTTTAGTACACATCTGAAAAAGAGAAGAGGTGATCTCCAACAAGTTAAACTAAAAAACTTATTTGCTTTCTAAGACACATGCTTTTAGTCTCTAAAGGTTCTGGGGTTTGTGCTTCTATAAGGTAAACCCCTCACTGTATCTTCTCCCAGTTGTCCTAATTCATGTCACGTCTTCAAGCTGTAGCAGACATCCTTTCAACCAAAAGGACCAAGTGAGACTCAACAGAGCTGTGAAGAGAGTCTCTTAAATTAACATTAAATTACTAAGCAACACTTCAACCATGTTATTTATAGTTGATTAAGCCACACTTGTCTTATGTGCATACTGAAAGAAAACAAATCCAAAGGATGCTTCAGAGTTGCACAGATAAGGTACACCAACCCAGCCTAAGTCTAACTTAGGGCTGTTTTTGTTATGTTTGTTCCTTTCCTCTTTGTTTACAGTAATTGAGGAAAAAACAGCACAGTGGGTAAGCTCAATAGTCCATATGCCATCTTAATCCAGTTTTAGTTTAAGGACAGGTGACAGACATTTCAGACAGACAGAAATTTGCTGCATTTGCTACTAAATTTGATTTTAGCCAAAAGATGTGTATTAGGTTCTTTAGCTAATTAGATTTCCTCAAGCTCAGCTATACAAAGCTCTGCTCACAGCTTCAGTCTTCAGTGCCCTTACAGACTTCTCTGATGACTCAGAATGAGTTTAGGGAATAACACTAGTGTCTTTTAAATGGCAAAGATGCAATTCCACTGCCACTTCTTCAGATAAAGGATTTTAGCATTATTAGTAGCACACATCTGTTTCAAAGCTGCAGAGGCAAGATACAATAGAAGAGCTCTATAATAAGCATGTGCTTGGATCTTAGACTTGTCCTTCTTTACTTTCAATTGCTGATTTATTTTTACATAAGCATTTCTCTATAAAGCTGTAAGCAGTTTTCCTAACAAGTTCTGCCACTTTGGTCTATGGGACCGTGACAGGAGGACATTTGCTTTCTTGAACTCCAGGTACCAATTGTTTGAGAAGGGAACAAAGAGAAAAATCAGCTGTCAGGCAAGGGCTGAAACACTGAAAAATGAACATACTGAAGTGATGATCTGAGAGAAAATCCATCATTTTAGATTCAGAAACTTACATGTCACATGCAGAACAGTGGTGGCAGCGGTCAGGTTTGATTAGCTGGCATCGATCACAGTATCTGATGGCTGCATTCAAGTGGCATGGGACAAATTGTTAGAACTAACTTAATTTTACAAAGCTTTTCCATCTTAACATATACTGAATCTTAAAAGCTCCCTTTCCACCCCATCACTCCTGTTTTCACAGACCTTCATGTACGTACTCACACAACATATACTTTTCAGTTTTTTAAAGAAACACAAGAAAGTATTTCAAACACTTTTCTATGAATCTATTACAAGAGTCCACTTCCATTTACTCTCAGGCTCCTCAGTCTTTCCATCCTTTATCCTCATCCTCTGGCAATCCCCCCCAGCATCTCTCATTTTCCTTCACCTCTGGTCAGAGTACTTAAGCATCTCAACATGAAATTACAATCTTCCAGAAGCCAGCTTTCAGCATTAGCCTTTTCTATCCTCTTCAGCAAACAGAGATGTAGCAGACTGTTCAGCAAATTAGCTCTCTCATCTTTCCTGTGTATTTTTAAACAAGACTTCAATCTCTTCTCAATGGAAATAAGACACAAGTATAAGCAGTTTGAAAGGAGGAGGAAAGCCAACACCTACAGCTGAGCAGAACTGCTAAGAGCTGGCAGCAGCTTCCTGGACCACTTCAGGAAACAGGATTCCCTCAAAGGGAGGCTTGTATTTAAAAAAAATAAAAATAAAAAAATCTAAGTATCCTAAGACTGTGCTTGAAAATTCACAGTAAACTTCATTAAGAGCATCCTGGATGTTTCATGCAGACCACTACAATATTTCTCATTTCAAGAAAGAGAAACAGGTATTTTTTAAAAATACATATATGCATAGGACAATAGTTTCATATATAAATTGGAATAAATTGGAATAAAATGTTTATATATATATATAAATATTATATAAATATATATATTTAATATATATATTAAAGCTCTGTACTGAATTACAGGTGAGAGTGAAATAATATTTATTTCTTATTAAATTCTAGCCTTAACTATGAAGTTTCTCTACCTATGGAATTGATACAGCACAGAAAAAGAAAGAGGGATACAAATGATTGTAAAATTGAGCATAAAGTCCAATTTTACCTAAGTGTATTTCTTTGCTGTGGTTATATTTTGTAGTCAGAATCAGAGAGAAATGTTTTCATCTGACTTTTTAATACAAGAGGTGTTTTTGTTTTTTTCTTTTTTTTTTTTTTCCTCCCTTTTTCTCTTTTTTGAAAGAATGATTCCAAGTACTGGTTATGGTTGCATATTGAGAATTCTAGAAAAAAGGCTCCAGTTTTTCATGGTGAAAGAAGAAAACCAACCAGTCACTAGTTCATGGTCTATGCAGGAGGTGCTCAACATATTGTTCATTGGCTGACATGAAACAAATCTCACTGCAATAAACTAGCAGCTGCAGGAGCATAAAATTATACCTCACCTCTTGATGCTGTTGTCGTATAGATAGGCAAGTCTTTAGCAGCTCTTCTCAAAATCTCCTGCTGGGACTCTGGTCTCTCTTCTTTTTCATATTGTTCTTTATCAGCTTTTGACAAGCAGAACTGGGAATGAAAAGATGGGGATAAAAGGATGAGAGTAATTACAACTTTGTGTTCTACTCATGCTCCAAGGAAGAGACTCTATGTGTCTTAATCTCTGTGTGATCCCAGACCTCATCCTTCTCCCCTGAATACCACAGAAGATCCTCCAAATTGTCTGTTGTGCTACCTATTGCATTTTCCCTTCAACACAAAAAACCTAGGGAAGTTTTAAGAAAGTGCATCCTTTAACTCCTGATGAGTATAAATTCAACTCATTCATGACAAGAGAAATGTTTAACAAACAGTCCCTTGCTGTGACTGGAAGTTCTTACATCCCATGTTCTCTGACTTACAAGAGACAGAGGGACATATAAGCCAGAGAAAATAGCATCAGGGGAAGGCATTTTTCATGGCTTCTGCAAGAAACCGAAAGAGTTTCAATGGAATCTTTACTTGGGAGCAGTCAGTATTGAAATCAGCTTTAGCAAAGCCTGCACAGTTTCACAGAGTTACGAATCTGAGTAGAGTATGAGGACAACTCCTGTTGAAGCCTTACAATGTTACCAGTATCACCTGGAGAACTTTCACTCACTTGTGAAACATTTACTTCCATATCTACTGAAATGACCAGCTTTACCATTAAGCCCCACAAAACCCAGGGTGCTGGTAAGTCCCTACGGAGCTGAGGCTGAACCCAAAATTTCTTCTGGTATTTTCTCTTCTGAAGCACTTTTAAACTCTGAGCTTTCCACAAGGACAAGAACCCTTTTTATGAGCACACACACAAAGCATTCACAGTAGTGAGTGGAAAATGCTGTGTGTGCAATTGGAGCAAAAACTGGCTTAGTGTGGCTTAATACGACCATATTTTCCTACCAAAAAAATGTATATGACTGGTTCATAAGGATTTTTGTCTCATCATGTACTTTTTCCTCTTTGGAACAGAGTTGGTTGGCAAGCAACTTGACTTATAGAAAGAGGAAGCAGTTAAGACATGGCTACAATTTCTCAGTTTTATTTCCCAATCCATGATGCAAATAAGTTGCTTGACATCCCACAGAATCTAGTTAGTCTTCTGTTACATATGATAGCACTGATAGCACTCCAGTTATTGAGCCCATTCATCATTCAATGGTGAGACATGAAGCACTGCCTCCTTTTCAATAATCAAGAACTAGAATCAATCTATGCAAAGAATGAAACTGAAGTTTAACACTTTAATCATTTTCAAGAGTTCAATTTTTTATTTTATTTTATTTTATTTTTTTTAAGTAACCACCCCTAAACTAAAAGACCGGGGATTTACTGAAACATGGAAACTGGAGATGCTCACCATCAAACACTTAAGATAGATGTGAAGCAACATGCCTTTCTCCCTGTTGCTTCTTATGTCTGCTAGGGTACCAAACAGCTGTCTCTACGAGCCATGATCAAGTAGAGGTTGTATTAAGTATGAAATACTACTTCTAAATCACATTTCTATGGTAAGTCATTAACGTGCAGAAAAGGAACTAAACCATAAGACTTAAAACTTTATTAGTTTTTCCAAGTAACTCCAAGTATTACTCCTAAAAATCCCAAATAAAGATTTTGGATGTCAGGGGGAAATTCTTTACAGAGAGAGTGGTGAGGTGCTGGAACAGGCTGTTCAGTCCCTGGAGGTGTTCAAGGCCAGATTGGATGGGCCCCCGGGCAGCCTGGTCTAGTATTAACTGGTCTAATATTACATGGGGAGGTTGGTGGCCCTGCATGTAGCAGGGGGGTTGGAGATTCATGATCCTTGAGGTCCCTTCCAACCTTGGCCATTCTGTGCGATTCTGTGGTCCTGGTTTTCTAAAGAGTTGTATTTCTGTTCTAATTTCAGAAATTAATAGGGCCATGAGACCACAGGCTTGCTGGACAATGGCAGGAAATGTATGTTCAAAGACATCAGAAGTTGTCTATTACCACATAGCTAACAGAAATTCCAATGTGGTTCCAGTAGTTCTCACTGAAAACAAAAGGAGACCCTTTGTTTCCTTCCTCTTTCTGGATCTAATAATGTGAATTGTTCTTTCTTCCAGCAAACATCCACAGATTACACTAGGACAACAGCAGCTGCAGAATCCCATTTTAGTTCAACAGTATGATCACAGGATGCTGTTTGTTTTGCAAGAATAGCTAATTTAAATGACTAAAATACATACGTTCATACTCATACAATGGGGAGATTCTGAAGTCTGGTTTTAAATAAAGCCAGCAGAAATTACTCACTGACACATGAACAGAAGGGACTTTCCCACAGAGAGAAGAAAGTGTGTTTCCTGAGTTGCCTTTTTTTTTTTCCATAGAAGAAAATAGTATTAATCTGATCTATGCTTTCATGTAAGACAGGAAATATTCATCACATGCCACATGCCCAAAATATCCTTTCACCTCAAAAGCTTCCTTCAGTATTACTGCAACAACAGCATAAGTACTGTCAGAAAATGATTTCTACTACTAAAGAACCAAGGCAGATAGCAAAATTTACCAGGTAGCTTTAGAAACAGCTCAAGTTCACATAGCTTTACAAAAATGGGATCTGCAACCACACAGCTAACCTGCTGAACATCAGCCTGCAGAACTGCCCCACATAAAGCTAATCACACTGTAGATGACTGCCTTTGAATTTCTAGGTTTAATTATTCAGCACTGTTCCTTTTGCTCAGCTAAGCAGCAGAACAGTTTTTATCTTTTTTTTTTTTCCCCTTCTACTTTACATTTTGCAGCTTTCTAAGATACAGACCTCTAAGACATAATTGAGAACTGCAGAGCAGTGTGTTTACTCTTCTAAGGAAATGTGGTTTTAACTCTTTGCAAAAATGTTGAAAGCTGGCATTAGCAAAGTCAGCCTTGCCAAAAACAGAATAAAAATGCAATCCCTGCAGAGCAACCAACATCTCAATTTACCCAGTTTAAAAGGTTTATAAAGCCAAGGGAAGCATTTCAAATTTGGTGCCAGCATTTAAACCCTACAGACACATGCCTTAGAGAAAGTAGAAACAAGGTAATTAATTTTAGGCTTAAAACAATTAATACTGCTCTTTTTCAAAACAAAACTTTAAATACATCATGCATTCTTTTGCAATTACTGTAAAGCTCTTTTATGTGCACAATTGTCACTAAATCTCAACACCTGACTTACTACTAAGCAGTTCAGTCCCCCAGATCATGAATATACATTGCATTACGACATTTTTCCAAACAAAAGTTCAAAACTAAGAAAAAAACACAAAAAAGCAGTAATTGGATTTTTCCATAATAAAAATGTCAAGCTATCTCATAGCAAAGCACTGCAGCCCCAAATAAACCTTATCTTACTTCTTCAGCACAGACAAGTGACTGTCAAATTTGTGACGTATTAAACATCTATTCTAAGGAAATGCCATTATACAAAGCTCACAGCTTTTTAAGAGTAATTTGATGATTTTCATTCACGATTTGCTGTCAAGCTGTTCCATTTCAGATAATGAGAAGGGAAAGGTGAATCATGCATTACTGCAAACAAGTTTCATCACTGAAAACAGTTTATCTACTTATAAAAAAAGCATTGACATTTTTCTAACGTCAGATTTACCTCATTGGAGGGGGATGCAGGAGATGTGAAAATTGTCTTCCCATAGGACCATACAAACATGACAAATGACAGATGGAAAATCACAAGGTACACAACTGCAATAAAATACAAATAAAATTTTGGTGAATATAGCTGAAGATAGCAAGACATAAACCCTCTGATTTTTGCTGAGGGCTACAGAATGACACTGTGAATCACCTGATAAGATTAAGTTATTTTAAACCCTTTTGCCTGAGTAAACTTCACACTCAAGAAGCACCCACTCAAAAAACAAGCAAACAAGAAAACCCACCAAAACCACAGGAAACTCAAACCCACGCACCACATCAAATCATCAAATAAGATGGTAGCCATTCCTCGAGGAAATGCTATGTTTTCATCTGAGATACTCAAAGAGATTTGAAGAGGGAAAAACAAAACAAAAACGAACAACCACAACAGAATTGAATGTAGTTTCACCTTGCTGACCTTTTTAGGCAAGTATGCTGCAATTCCATTCTAAGATTACAGTAAAGAGATGTACTTTTAACAGAAACAGCATAGCACTATGCCATCGTAGAAGGCACTGCTCTTCAATGAGAGTAAAAACCCCAAACCAAGAAGTGAGAGAACTCTACTCAAAGCTTGCTGTGAGCTAAAATTGTCTGGAAATCTTATTTCAAATCATCAGAGGCATGGACACTGTAAGAATCCCACTATTACAGTCACAGTGGTACCAAAATGGAGGTGGCTTTAGTATGGAGCCCTGACAACTCCTGAATGAGTCTGCATCATACAGCTGCCTTAAACACCAAAGACCTTATGATCCAGGAAGGTCCTTCCAATCTCATTTCCTCTAAAAGTTTATTTTACCACTTGAAGAGGAAACAGATTGGTAATGCCAGATCAGCAAGCCTTAGAAAAGAAACCATAGCAAATATTTACTTAATCTTCACTTTTCCAGTTGCAGGAAGAAGGAAACTTGACCTACTTTCCTGTGCAGATACACAGAGTCCTTTAAGAAGCCACATTACATCCTTAATGGATTGCAGAACAGACCCTTAACCCTGAAAAACTTCCATAAACTCAAAAAAAAAAAAAAAAAAGCGCATGTATACAGTCACAAAAGGCAAGTCTTAATTTATCAGTTTTTTCCAGGATTGTCGCTGGTCATTACAGTAAAAAGAGAAAAAGCAAAACAGAACATTGCCACCAAAAATAGCATTTGTGCTTCCTTCACACAGTTCTGCTCTTTACCTTCACTACTGACTCCTCCAACTTTACAGACAGACTTGGCAAATTTTCAACTGGGGAACTCAATGAAGATTAAGAATTTTTTCTAAAACTATCCTGAAGTTGTCACTTGAATCCTATTTCCAATAGGAGAGAACTCATGTTTGGCTGTACTAGGAGCTACACAATTAGGAATGGTGCTCTACATGCTATACACACTCAAACATAATGTGGGTAAGCAATTTAAAAATGTGAGATAACTAGAAAAGAGAAGACTACAAATCTCAGTGGGAACAGCTGCACAAATCAAAGCTTTGAGGAGATAAAAAAAAAAAAAAAGGGTGAGAAGAGCTGAATAGAAAAAAGGGGAGGGCGCAAAGTTTCATTCTGTGCATAAAAATCAACCCCAGAATCCAAGTTCTTTTGAAGGTTTATTTTTAGTGCATGCAATACTCCATGAACAGCAGAGCCTTGAAGTCATAGGTTGTAAATATGCCAATAACAAGGGCACAAATCTGTGGCAATGCAACCAGCATTTACCAGAAAGAGGCAGCTGTTAAAGGGCTCCTGCACTCTTGCAATAACCAAGATCTTGCAACCTGGCACTGTCATTACATGCAAAGACAAGCAGGAAAAGTGGGGCACCACCCATTGAGGAGTACACGCCTTCAATTGGCAGCTCGTACTGGCCTTGCGCTGAGTCAACTCTTGTTTCTTTTCCCACTTCCATGCCACCATTCCTACTATAGTTACAAAGAGGTGTTCTGCCAGTGCTTCCTGAGAAATGAGTGTGCAGTGATCATTTTTTGATGGCTTGGCTTTGGTAGTCAATCTACCCACCCTTTGGGTAGCAGTACCCCCTCTTGAGACTACTCTGTGAAGCCTCCTGCATCAGTTCCAAATACAAGTAAAAGCTGGCTTCATTCACATTCAGTTCATTTTCTTGTAATTGCAAGACAGATAAAAAAACCCTATCAAATAACTCAAACCCAATATCTGCCAGGTTAGCTAGATTTAAGAGTCCTGAAGCAGCTCTGGCTAGGGAATCCAGGAGTCTTGATGGCATGCTATGACCAAATTAAATGGCTTCATTCTGAAGGCACTGACATGTATCAGACCATAGTTTAAGCCCTCAGGAAGGCAATGTCATAAGATATCCTCTGAAGTCACGCTAAGCCCTCCTAAGATTTACTCCTAACAATTTTTTCTTAAACATTCTTAACACCATTTTAAAGACGGTCACATTTTAGAGCTAATAATACTTAACAGAACCAAATTACATTGGTAAGAGAGACTGAGGGCTGACTTTATTCCCCTACCCTAATGGACATAAATCTACACAAGAATACAAAAACGAAAGGACAGGGAAACAATTAGCCTTAATGGGGTGAAGAAATCACCAGTAATTGAATTACAAGTTATAATTAAAATGGTAATAAGAAGATTTGAACACAGCACACTGGAAAACATATTTGCTAAGATGCATATCATTAATCTACATTGCAATGTTAATGATGCTTTGGCCATCTGACTCTTCTAACATTGTTTCCTGGCTACTGGAAGTTGGCTTCCAAGAACCTGCTAAAGCTTATAAGAAGTTTCATTTCAGATGAAAAACAATTTTACATCTCATTTTAAAGATGCATCTCTGTTGTAAATAAATTCATGCATGCAGGGTACCTGTAACATGCTATAGAAGTGAAGGTGAAAAAAGCAATTGCTTTCAAAAGCCTAAGAAGCACGTTTCACAGATACCACCTGTCTCATTAATTAATCAAGTATTTTTCTTCTCTGGTAGATTTGATCAGGCAGGCATTGCATTTGAATTAAAGCCAGAGATGCAGCTACACTACATCGATGTCACTGCTCTACCACATTTTAACAGAAACACAGACCTTGCACTTCTGGAAGAAACTAGAAAGTAAAACTTCACTTCTAGTTAAACTAGAAAGTAAAAGCACAGCAGTCATCTGCAGAATTCTTTGCAGTTTTAATGAAGCCCAGCTGTGCTTTGTGATAAAAAAACAGGCTGACACTGCTCCTGTCTTAAAAAGCTTACAGTTTATTTTGGAGGTTTTCCCATTCTTTCACCTCCTCTTTAGAAGATAAAAGCAGACAGACTGCAGCAGGGTTACTCTGCAGTTTTCTTCTGGGTGCTTCCCTCCAGGAAGTGAGCTGATGGGTTACTTTCAAGTTCCATGCTTTTTTGCAAAAATATTTAAAGAGATGAGAGCCTCTTCTGTAGAGTTGAGTGGCCTCAGCTTTGAGGACAGCCTTTTTTGGGTAAATCTATGGCTTAATGGCTTAATACAAGACTATGACAACCACTTATGTTCCCTCACAAGCTGAAATGAATTTCCAAACATCCCAATCATTTGTGTTTCTACAGGGAAAAATACAAGCCCAAAGTTTTATAAGAGCAGTGCTTGGAACTTCTGGAATTGTGTGATTCTACAGCCCAGCTTCTGTCCACAACTGAAAGAACTGAGAAAACAAGAATGCTAGAATTTCTCTGATCAGTTTGAATCTCTGTAAATACACTCACTGTGACACATGCTTGCTAAAGACCATAGTAAGTGTTAAGCAAAGTTTGTCAAAACAAGGCCTTAACCACTTTGCCTGGAAGTGTAAATTACTGTACAGACACCTTTGAAATAGCTGTGACTTTGCACAGCTCTAACCAGTCCTGAGGAACAGTGTTCTGAGGAATTTGGTAAGCTGTTTGGAAAACAGCCAACAGTAGAACAATTCTTCAAGTCACGGGATACAAGGAGGACAGTAAGGTAAGTGACAGTAAGAAGAGTGGTCAGGCACTGGAATGGGCACACCAAGCGTGTGGTACAACAAGCTCAATATAGTCATCCTCATAATATTTACCTTGTTTCTTAGCAATAAGCTACTTAACACAGAGAGCTTACACATCAAGCACATTTAAATTCTACATCCCTTAAAACTTGTGTACAACAGAACCACCCATAACAAAAATAATTTAAAAGCATTACCTTTTTCTGCAGTTGAAGAAATAGTAACTGGAAGAGAAAAAAAAAAGATACAAGGTAAGTAAATTTGTACTGAACAAAAAATTTTGTTAGAAGTGAGATACACAAGATGCTCACTTGTTCCAAAGCATATTTCAGGTGTTAATAGAGCCTCCCTACACACTCTGAGTAAAACAGGATTCCTCCTGCCACCCTCTAAGGCCTGGTGAGTCAGTGGAATAGCTGAAGAGATCCAGCTCCCTGCTCTAACCATCTGTGGACACTCCTTTTAAGAGAATTAGAACATAATTTATACAGGCTGCCCTTCAGATATGCATCCAGCATGTTTTCTGAAGCACACCGGGAATCAGGCCAACAGGTATACAGCCAGAAAGTACAAAATGAGATAAATGAAGTTCTGACAGAAGTCCCTGTGAAACTGTATGAGTTGCATGTAATCTCTAAGTTTATTTCCACCACTCCTCTCTTCCCTTGTCACAAGCTGTTTGACTTTCTTTTTCTTTTAACCTGAACTCCTGAGGCACAGTTAGGAACTCTCTACTTCCTTGTCTTCTGCAACTTCATCTCTTTTTATCCCAACAGCAAATTCTGTAGTTGAAATCTGCCTTGGGTACTACCTGGCCGGTACATTCTCCTGCACCCACAGTTCTCCAAAGCCTCAAAAGCTCATTGTTGAGTAAGATGCTAGTCAGAGAGCAGCTGTACTCATTGGATCACTCCGCATCATGCGCCTTGCTGAGTCTCTTCCCCAGGCTGAATTCCTGAAATTCAGTGAGGAAGGGATCTTTTCCTGACATCTGATATGGCAAATTTAAGCTTCTGGTCACCAACAAGAGCAAAAGGTCAGAGCACACTTTGTCTGCTGCCATCCACCTGCTCCACGTGGCCTCCTTTCTCTCAGCACTGACATTTGTACAGTCTTTAGTCTGTGCGTCAGCTCAAAAGAGCTTTTTCCTGATGCACACCAGAGACATAAATCCACAGGGCTTCAGGATGCATTACAGACTTCAGAGCTACTCTGGTACACAGAGACAGCACGCGTCTTGCTTACCTGTAGGTATCTATGGCAAAGGGGCCTGCAGCCATGTTACACAACTGTAATTCTTTTATTGACATACTGAGGTGATATTTCAATGCACAGGGTGAGGCCTGTTTGTTCAGATGTTGGCGATTTTTTTTCCCCACTCCTTAAAGTACACTCTGTCTCCTCTATCCATGGAAGCCCCTCACTTCAACTAAAGCCTTAAAGAATAGCGTAATTTCACATTAGTTAGTACATTTTTGATGTGCACAGTTGCACAATCTCCTCTTGTGTTTCTGTCTAAAAGCAGGACACAATTCACACAGAAAAACCCACCTGAAATACACATACCTGTAAAGTATATACATGCACATAAGAACAAGTCCAACTACATCAAGAAACAGTTAAAGTACTGCTCGACTGCATCATACAGACCTCAAGTTATATTCAGAGTAAATCTTTGGGTTGAAATTTTACTAATGTGTTATTTCTCCAGTTCTGCATTACCATTAAAGTTTTTAAACACAAATATGAAAACTATTAAAAAGGAGAAAGTTAAAACAAGAGTTGTTTGTTTAACTAAAAAAAAATAAATTAACAACAGTACTAAAAGTACATTACAGTAAGCTTTGTCTTCGGCTCCTGATGTATTTTAACATCTTGCTCACAGCTGGACAAACATGCATTTCCTTAGACAAGAAATATAAAAAAGTTCTTAATTATTCTCTAATGGGTTGTGAGAACAGTGTTATCTATAAAAACAGATTCATTTCTTCCTAGGTAATTCCGGTTAAAGCATTCCATAATCTTTTAACCTCATTTCTGCTCTCAGTACAGAACTACATGCTGAGCCAAATTTGATGCTTAAGGACTTAAAGTACTGCACACAGAGAGAAGCTTAAGATCTTATCACTTGTGAGACTTCATTTAAAAAAACCCTCTAAATAAACTTCATAAAAATTAATCATAGCTTTAAGGAACCAAGAAGATAATTTTCTCATACTTATATTGGTCCCTTAGGAAAACAATTGTTGTTCAGCAAACTCCTGCAGTTTGAGGTAAAAGCGAACCCTAAAACATTTGTGATTTTCATTGTCCTATCATCCTTAAATAAAAATAAGACAGTAGTTCTCTCTTGCCTCAGAAGTTATAGGATTCTGCTACTATTCCTTGCATGGCTTTTATTCCTCCTGTCAGATGGACTCAGTGAAGAGCAATCCTAGTATTTGTACAAAGTCACTCAGCAAATGGAAATCATCACATAAAGACCCTGTGAAACCACTCCAGTTAAACCTGCCTTTAAATAAGTTAATATTTAATCTTTACATAAAAGAGACCTGTAAGCGTTTGCTAGGCTGGCAACGTAATAAGCAGCTTTATGCCATCAAGAAATCAATTTCAGCTTTTGAACTCTGGTTAAGGAAGAAAACAGAACGTAGCACTACCATCATATCCCACCATCCTCGGCCTGCAGCTTCAGTTACAAGCTCCCCTCTCTGGTTTTGGGTTTCTCCTCTGCTGCTTCTGAGTATTTAGACCTTGCTGTCGGTCTCCATTGAAATTTATATCAGTTTCAACTTTAAACAATTCTAAAACACATTTTTTGTTTGGGGAAACTGGATGGGAAAAATGAAGCAGTGCTGCCTTTTTGCTTATTGATTCTTTTCTTGAACAAAATAAGCACTGCATATGATTTACACATTACCCTGAGGATACAACAGCACAGTTTGTTACGTTAGGTGCATTAAAACAAGTTAATGCCTTCAGCAAACAAATCAGTCCATATTTCAGAGATGTAAGTGCTGCAAAACAGCTTTTCTTTTGAGGATTTCAAAATATATACCCATGTCAGTCTACTGCTTAGTTACAAAAGAAAATTGAGAGCAAAAGTATTCTTAGGATTGGCTTTTTAGGTTTCTGATTTCCAGAGAAGCCTTAAAGAGTTCCAGCAAGATACTGCTAGGGAAAGATAAAAATACAATTAGACAGTGAAGGCTGCAGCTCACATGGCTGCAAAGCTGAGCAGCATACACTCATAAGCACACTGAGCAGCCTTGTAATTTCAAAGGATTCAGCATCTCCGTGTTACAGCTCTGTGTGGGCCTGTGAGGAATGAGTCCCACCTGCTGCAGCACAGAGCTGCCCATTGGTTACCTCAGATTTTCCCCAATTGCCCTCACTAAAGCTCATGACAGTGTGCCTGTGAGGAAAAGGATGCTGACCTACAGAGATCCCCGGGCTGCTGCAAGCTGTCTGGGGATAAACAGCCTAATGTGTTGCTCCTGCAGCACTGGCAGCTTACACATCGCAGCTCTCCATGCTGCAGGGTCACTGCAATAAGAAGCATGCAAAACTGAGTACGTGAGTCGTTTCTACAGAATGCTAATTCCCAAACACACAACCCAGCCTTTTAATAAGCTGGGTTAAAACATACTTTTTAGCTTGGTCAACATGAAAAACCAACAGAAGTTCCAGGTTTGACTTTAGCATGGGAAAAAGTTGCCTAAGTTTTGATTTAGATGTTGAGTATCACCCTTAGCAGGGAAGACACCTCTTCCTTCAGTTCTCTCTTATGCCTCTGTGTAGCTTTGCACTGCTGCCTGTTATCTTCCATCTCACCTACGTCACATGAATCACAGAGGCAGAAGCCTACAGAATATCACAGGAAACAATCCTACAGACATAGGGATGTTATAAACGGTATCATAAATGACACTGAAGAAAGATGCCATTTGTCAGAAGGATTCTTCTTGGAGCACACGTGACAGAGGTGCAAGCTTCAGAAAGCCTCAGAAAAGTTTTTATGGAAACCTACCAAAGTAAGCTAAAAGAAAACACACTTGCCCTCAACCTTGAAGGAAAACTGAACAGCAAAAAATCCCTCCACAAAACTCACACATCACGTATCCACACTTCCTAAAAGGCATTGTCTAGTCCAAGCCACACTTTGAGAGCCAGCTGCGTGATTTCCAGACCATGAAATCCAACAGCAGAAGTAGAGAAAAGAAAAAAGATTGATCTTGCTACTGCTGTGCTATGTGCAGCCCTCCTGTCTGCATGGCAGCTCCTGGCAGAAGTTATAGTTGGGGTATCACAGCCTCTCCAAGAATCTCAAGAGTAACTTCACATTTTGGCTGACTTTCCCTGTGGACAGAATAAAGTGCTAACCGTGCAACTGCATTCCTTCACTAGAGGAGTTACCAGACTGAAACCTGACAGAAACTTCCCTGAGGCATTACCATGCCTGCAAAGGCAAGCACCACTTATGTTATCTCATTTTGTGCTTCTTCAGAGAAGAAAGATTAATTGGAAGTACAACTTGGATTTATAGTCATGTAATTCCTGTTTGAAAATACAGACCTTCCTCAGTCAAAAGAATATGGCAGAAATACCACTTACTGAGGTAACTAGGGCAGATGATGAGTTAATTTCCTCGAACAAACACACCTGCATCACAGGCCCAGGGGCAGTGGCACAGAATGAGGACTGTATCACCTCTGCACTCCTCCCAAAGCTCCGTGACCTTCCCACGCCGAGCTCTTCCTTATTTTCTGATAGGCAGGCACCCACCAGTGTGTTCCTCCCTCAGCAGCAGGGAGTTGTTTTTAGACAAATGATTCAAGACAACTGAGTTGACAGCACCACGTGGCCAAAAGCCAGCACAATAAAACACTGCCAGGTCCCTGCTGGAAGGCTGTGGGGGCCAGGAGTTGCATTACACGTCTTGCCACCAGCTGGAACGAACAATCTCTGCATAAGTTTGGGTCACAAGGATCTAGCCCTGTTTTAGCTTCACACACTGCTAGACTGAATTTTAAAGAAAGCAAACAAACAAGCCTCATGATCTCCAGTTCTAGGACGCATCTTCTCCACAACACACTGCCAAATCATTCAGAAGGTAACATTTATTTAACCCACCATGTACCTGCACATGGGTAGCATGGGCATACCAGACCCAGCTCTAAGGCAGCGCTCTTCTCAGGGGTGCAACACATGCTGGACATCTCTG